AGAACATTCCGATTTACGCTTCATCATCATCATCATATCAGCCGGAAGACGTCCACTGTTGAACATAGGCCTCCTCCAAAGATTGCCAGATTAGCCAATCTGACGCAACGTGCCTCCATCGGTTACCCGCCGTTTTTACCAGGTCATCCGCCCATCTAGTAGGGAGCCGTCCCACTGAACGTCTTCCGGTTCGTGGTCTCTATTCAAGAACCTTTCTGCCCCAACGGCCGTCAGTTGTACGAGCTATGTGTCCTGCCCACTGCCACTTCAACTTGCTAATCCTTTGGGCTAATGTCGGTGACTTTCGTTCTTCTACGGATCTCCTCATTTCTGATTCGACCACGTAGAGAAATACCGACCATTGCTTGCTCCATGCCTCGTTGAGTGACTTTAAGCTTTTTTATGAGCCCTATAGTAAGTGACCACGTCTCAGAGCCGTAGGTCATCGCTGGTAACACGCACTGCTCGAAGACTTTTGCCTTCAAGGACTGCGGTATTGCTGACGAGAAGGCGTCCCGGAGCTTCTCGAAAGCTGCCCAACCGAGTCGGATTCGACGATTGACCTCTTCCTCGAAGCTTCTTATGCTGCATACGTTTTGCAAAATATTTTATTGTAGCAATAATAATATATCGTTTTACATGCAACTTGTGCGGAATACCGTATTTCATGCATGTTTTATGGAGGCTTACAAATGTAAATTATGTAAGTTTGACATTAACATGATTTTTCGTTTTATTTTTGACATTGTTAATTTTTACTAATTTTTATTATATTTTTTCTTTGCATGTTTACTAGTTTTTGACAGTTTTTAATTATAATATTTTGTACATTATGCGACCACCACTAATTATATTTGTATGTTTCGACGAAACTGGTTGTAGTAGCATTGTTAATGTATTGAACTGATCTGATGAACTTGTACCTACTTCCACAAATAAATCGATCTTTATCTTTATCATAAACAGGACACATGTATTCATACTGAAATATGTATATAATTGCGTAGTATTTATTATTCGCAATGAAACTCGACCGTGTAGCCAGACCTTTAGTGAACCGTTGAAGCGGAAACTGGGTATAACAGGAATGTCAATAGAAGAGTAACGTAAGACTTTCATACAATTTATATATAAACGATTTATTCTGCGATAGCAATGACGAAGGATACGTAGAACACTTTTCCGCTGGTATGCCTTAGGAATTTATCTCAAACTTCGTAGATCTTATATACAAAATGTATTATATAGCATTTGCTACGTACCGTCAACATCGACGGACCTTTAAATATCCACCATTCTCCACTGATATATAGCTAATAATGATATCTTTACCTACCAACAGACACTACTACCTAAAAGCTACCACAAAGTGGGGACAACTTTGCCACTATCGAATTTAATATCAAGGACTAATTTTTGCGAGTGTTCTGATGGATATTCTCGACAAATGACGTGATCGCAGCAATGGCTTACGCATTTATTTCGCTATGAAAACCGGTCAATTGAAAATAAAAACAGCAAATAGTACGAGATAGTTATTGTACTTCCGCCAGTAGACGCTAACGTCCAAGACATAAGTAGATGTTTTAAAAAACGTTATTTTTCGACGAAACAAGTTTCAAATCTATAGAACAGCATTGCCACAATAAACTTGGCAGTTTTCAGTAAAAGATATCGAAAAACACCTACAAAACATTTATCAAACGTCGGAAAAAAACTCATCTGCCACATGACATGGTGTTGTCCGTTTTATTCGGTAAAAGAAGGTAATAATTGTGTAATTATACAATTGCGCTCTATGGGGGGGCGGTAAGCGAATGTGCAATGAACAATGACAATAAATAAAAGAATATGAAGTGGCAAAATTGAATGGCACAAAAGGAAGCACCAGGTTATAAATTCACACACTATTTCTTAACATTCCCAGAAACATATCCGTTAAAAGTAAAACGTAGGGTCACCAACAAGCAGTGGAGCAAGAGTCTCATTTATTTTTAAACCTATTGTTACGACGAGCTATAGTACACATTATTTGTTGAAGTACGCATGAATTTTCTTCGAAACGTTATTATTAATAACGCCTTTGTTTATTGTGTTGTGTACTTTTAACCAGCTTTTAAGATGGCCAAGTGCTCAGTTAAATCTAAACACCCCAATTTTGACACTCTCTTGAAGCTATTAAAACTTTGAAGTACGTCAGCTACCTGCACGAGTTAGGTGTTGGAAAAACACGCGGCCCACTTTTAAAGTAACGTAACCTATTAAAAGTGTAACCTGTAATTCTGCTCGTAAATGATTGCGTTTTGTCACGCGGTTGCGTAAGAATCCTGGCAAATGAAGCTCCTTTTAATGTCTGTTGTAATTTTGAGACGAACGCTTCAGTATGACGTCCCATCGAAAAGTGTTTTTTTATAAATTAATGCTCGAAAGAATCTAAAAATAATTACTTAGGTATCTACGTAATTTGTATAGTGTCAATTGACGTCACTACCTCATTTATTTCTGAATATGATGGAATATCATATTGATATATCATAAACAATGTATCTCGATTTCTTAAGCTCTGCTAATAATATCACATTATAATCTGTGGCTTAGTACAAGAAGTACCTAAGTCCATATTACTTACGTACTTCTTGTACCTTTTCTACTGTTACGACTGCGTCGCCTAATAGGTATATCTGCGGCGTATATGTCAGGGGACATAACAGCTGGATTATATGATGAATATGATATAATTGTTTTATATGATGTAATTGATGGCCTCCTTGGTCGAGTGGTTTGCACACCGGTCTTTATGGTGTCGCCAACTCTGAGGTCCCGTGTTCGATCCCCGGCTGGGTCAGTGTTAAACTAACTTTTCTATATTGTCTCGGGTCTGGGTGTTTGTGGTATCGTCGTTGTTTCCGATTTCCACAACACAATTGCTTTAGCTACTTACTTTGGGATCAGAGTAACGTATGTGATGTTGTCTAATATTTATTACTTATTTATTTATAATTGGAAATGAAACTATTATATATATTTTTCGGATCTAAATCACGTTTCTGCTTTCTCTGTCTCCTTATAGGTCCCATGGTCACAGCTGACTAACTGAATGACTGACCTTGGAACCTGTAAAGGGCCTGAAACGTTGGTTTGTTTGAAACAAGTATACGCGATTTACATCCTCAACATAATAATCCAGCTGTTACCTTCTCTAATATATGTTTGTCGCCGTCCTCGACGACGTCCATTTTTTACATTCCCGAATCCCGAACTCTAGCACCCTCTACTTCATCTACCATCAAGCATGTAAGCTTGTTATTAATGATCTCTTAATTTCAACGCCATTATTTTGATATTTTCTACTATTTTATACCGAGATACTTTGCTACTTTTGGGTAGAACTTGAACGCAATAGTTATATAGCTACTTCTATAAGTACCTAATCACTAGTCTTTAATATGCAATTGGTTGTATTTGTTAATTTGTATAATATTGTTAATTATATTGCTATTTCATAGCAGTAACACTTGTGATATATGTATAAGTGACATCATCACATAAAGTGCATACTTCACATGAATAAATAAATAGTATTCATAGTGCGACTGGCTGCAAAGTCAAGTAGGTCAGTCACTTTTAGTACTTACTTAACGTTGTCTGAAAGTTCGTGCAACATGGAGTGGGCTAGATTTTTTAACCGACTTTAAAAAAAAGGAGGCGGTTCGCAACTCGACTGTTTTTTTTAATGTAGGTATGTTACGCGATAACTTCGGCGGCATTTGTGAACCGATGTTGATGATTCTTTTTTTGTTGGAATGAGGGTACCTCAGTAGTGGTTCCATTTACGTTTGAAGGATATATTCCACCTCTAAAAATGGCAAACTAGGGGATGAATCCGGTTTCGCGCACTTTCCGGTAAACGTTTTCAATAAAACTTGGCAAATAGATGTATAACTTGATCGGTCTAATAGTAATAGTCGGTCTATCTCTCATTATCTTGTTTCCTGTCCTTAAGATGTGCGTGTTGTTGGTTGGGCTATATAGGGTTTAATATTTTTCCTTTTTTTTCCCCTGCATTGGCAATTGTACCTGTTCTTAATGTGTAAAATAATATTATGTCGTTTACATTTTAATAACAATGTTGTAGTTTCTGCTGACTAAAAACTTAGTAACTTATTTTTTGTGCTACTTGTGGAGATTTGTAATTAGCATTTTCACTTGTTACTCAACCTTTATTTATTGTTAAAAATTCGTTGTAAATTTTCCTAAAAATAAATAAATAAATAATTCCACGAAAATTTGAGGTCGGTTTTTTTAAGTTCTGTTTTTAGTACTGATCTGTTATAAAAATAAAATGTTATTGTTTTACCTGTGCAATATTGTTATGTTTGTATTATGTATATTCCCAATTTGTTTGTCTGTTTTCGACAAATAATCCGTACGACATTCTTAATAAGATTTCAGAAACGATTTCGTATTTCGGTCGTTTACGATCTCGGTTTGAAATCTGAATGACATGTGAATATGCTACGTAGGATGACGTAAGGGTAACAGGATGATATGGTCCGGCTACACGACAACTGTACCTTTTTTCCGTACGTTGCTTGCGCAATTGTACTCGCGATGATGCTCGACTTTGTAGATAAATAAATAAATAAATGACGCACACACTCAACATGGCCCCGCACTAGGGAAACCCTGCGTTCGCGAATGCCATGGACACACACATAGACAATCACAAATTACATCCAAACTCACGAGATAAATAAATGTAGGACGTACAAATATTTCTCCTGGCCCGGGGATCGAACCTGGGACCTCTGCGTGGCAGTGCCATGGTAACCGTTCGACCACGGAGGCAGGGTACAAACAAGCTTTAAAGAGCAAGGTCAAATTAGCGGAATGTCATAATATCGCACTCATTACTGTGGCGATAGGTTGAAATTCTATTATTTCTCTTTCTCTTATTAAAATGAAAATCTTTTAAACAATACTTTTACTTTATCTTTCAGACAGACTCTACTTCGCGACTCTGAAGACGGGCTACAAACCGAAGCCAACTCGCAATAGCAAGTACTTCCACATAGAAGATGACATTGTTTACGAAAATTTTTACTTTGACTTCGGTCCATACCACCTCTGTCACCTGTATCAGTTTTGCAACCGGCTTAACGACGAGCTTGATAAAAACCCCAAGAAGAAGATCGTCTTTTATACCAGCAACAACGAGACACTGCGACTTAATGCTGCTTATCTTATTGGATGTTATCAGGTATTTAGAGACAGTTTTTCTACATAAGATTTGATTATACTGACCCTCCGTGTCAACCTCTAGGTTTTGCGGAAATGGCACTATAACCAGGGGGTCTAGACTCGATCTCCGTCCGATATCCGTCCGAAACAATTACTGTCAAATAAGTAATATTCGACAAAATTAAAAGACAAGTATCAAGTATGAAGCTTCATTCGCATCACGCGTCTTTTCATTTGGTCAAATATTGCTTATTTGGCAGTAATTGTTTCGGACGTATGTCGGACGGAGATCGAGAGTAAACCCCTGTGCGCGCGCAAGGAATCTTATAAGTTCAGACCCCAAATCTGCAGGGTTATTACAGACCGTTGTCACGTGCCTTTATCCAGTTCTCAAGAGGCTAGTGTCTCGGGTGAGCCGCCCCGGATGCACGTACAGTACCGTACCGTAGATGTAAGCATGCTCACTTCCCGTTGCGCATTGCACAACTAGCGGTTGCCACCGCTAAGCCGTTGACTTTTAAGTCCACTACCAAATCTCAAAGGTATTTCGAGACTATGTAAATTCAAAAATGTTGTGTAAATTATTGTCAAATTGATTTGAATGCATACGTCATACCATCTGCGGAATAGGGGCAGACTGCCAGTCAATAACATTACGTTTGTCTCTCACTATAACTGCGTACTTTTAGGTATTGAAAAATGTAAATAAATGAGAACTGTTAAGTGGGCAGATCCAGGGGTTTACAACTATTTTAATTGCGGCGGTCACGATTCTTCTACGTATTTATTTATAAATATTCAGCAGAACGTTTTTCTCCGAAGACGACGGATGGCCTTTTTCTTGCTCGTTTCCTTTTTTGGAAAAGGAAAAGTAAGCAAAGAGCAAGCTCGGCTTATTCCCGGCTCGCAATCTCTCATTGTCCTTTTTTAACACACAAACCGTAAAAGAAAATATGATAAGACGAAACAAAGGAACAACAAAAAATTATCGTAAAACAAATTAAATGGAAACAACAATAAATTCCATTCTGAAAACCACGAAAAAAGTACACACATACATCAGTTGTCATCAAGCCATGGCGTCAGCTAAACTGACTGAATTTAAAATCAACGTACGGTCAAGTGTTGTTACATAAGAATGTTACTTTCTACTTTAGGCTCGATTTATATTGCGGCGCAAAGAAATGGAAGCGAATTTTTGTAACGATATTGTAAATAGCGTAATGAACTTTATGGTCAATTGTGTAACGTACGAACTATATACGAGCCAAAAATTACGTCGCGCGTCTTTCGCGGAATTCTCGCGAATACGCGAGCAGCTGCTGTCCACGACTAAAGATGGGAAAAACTGCTTATTTTTTTAAACTTTAAAATGTTAAGCTTTTTAAAAAAAAGCGTGCTTTTTTTAAACGCTTTTTCACTTAAACGCTTTTTAGTTTGAAGCGAACAAAATCGTTTAGAAAACTTTTAAGCGCATAGACTTTTATGTTAAAAAAAAGCTTGCAACGTTGTGTTGATAGCGAAACGCAAGAGTATACCGCTAAAGGTTTTAAGATAAGTTTGTTTTAAAAACAAACGAGTTATATTTTTATGACATAACATTATTATATTAACATTTTGTTCATTGGCGTTTAAAAGCGTTCAAAAACATACTCGTAAGTTGTTTAACTTTTCTAGTTGTTAACCGTTTAAATGGAAAAAACTGTATATTTTTTAACGTTAAAACATACGTTTAAAAAGCGTGCTTGTAAAAGCGTTTATCACTTAAACGCTTAAAAAGTCGTTTAGAAAAACGTTGATGCGCATAGACTTTATGTTTAAAAAACTTACAACGTTATGTTGAATTAATTTGTCCCTAGGGGCTGAGGCTTTCGTTTTATGGAAACACAGGAGTTTAGTCTTCGAAACATTTAAGGCTAGTAAGTTGCGATTTAACCAGTTCGAAATATGTGACATACCTTGTTCAACTTTTCGAAAACTCTCCGGCCATGTTTTGTCGGAGAAGATCGCGGCCGTAACATCAGCGTAGCATACGACTGAGGAATTAGGTAAAGAGATAGACAACAAATCGTTGATGTAGACTAGAAATAATGATGGCCCCAATATGCTTCCTTGGGGAACACCAAAGTACACTGGTTTTATGGTACTGGCAAGACACTTTTAATACACTGTTTCCTTCCCGTCAAGTAACTCTGAAACTATGGTGAATAGGATAAAAGTTTCTCTATTTCCGCGAGCCTATTTGCGCTTATGCTGAGCCCGCCGCGGGGAATACGGAAGAAAATTTAAAAGGAACTATACAGACAAGAGGCAACAGTCTTATATAAAAGATGATATTATGAACCACACTGTCCTCATTTTTATAAGGCATTTCAATTTTGGAAAGCTTTCTCTTCATTTAAATTTGTACTGAATTGGAATTCAATTATTTTTAGTGAAATTACTCCACGTTTGTTATAATTATCAATACAAAGATCGAACACTTAGAAAAAAATTCCTTCGATCCGGCCGGATTCGAACCGACGTCTTCACCACGGAACGAACCAGCGGACCTCACGAATTTCTCAAAAAACACTTAGAGTTTGTAGATCTCGTTTCGCTGATTCCATATATCGCCGCTATTTTGTAGAAAGGGCGTAAGCGACATTTTGTAGATTTTACAGGGGAGGGTGTTTTAGGTTTTAACGCCTATATATATTTACGTCCTGTTTTAAAATCCAATTTTGGTTTTAATTAAGTTTAAAAATCGAATTTCAAAACAGTAGGGCTAGCACGACAGAGCGCTACTAGCGCGAGAGCGACATAAAGCGCGAGGTACTGCTATTCTCGCCTAGAAATCTCGCGCTTGATGTCGCGCTCGCGCAAGTCGCGCCTTGTCGTGCTAGTCCCACAGGACGTAAATATTTTAAAACGTCCTTTAACGACCTACAACTTGCTTTCCTGAAAAATCTACGAATTTTTTTTTACGTTCGCGATGTACATCAATCTTCTGATGAAGATCACAAACAGTCATATTGATTGTCCAGAATTGTTGTCACACATAAACCTGCGTGCAAACCTGTTGCAGTACAGATGCCGACCAACTTTGCAAATGCCGTTTGCGAGCACTAATTATCCGCAAAATGCGTACGTAATGCGTGCATTGGGACTTTTTAACAATGTGACTGTAAACCACTCTGAATTTGATTTGTTTTATACAAGTTTAGACACAGTCAGGAGAGAAATGACCAAACGTGACTTTGACACATCACGTGACTGGCGATGATTACACACTTGTCTATTATTATTATGTAACTGTTCTTTGTTTCGTGTTGGCGGAAATTCATAAATGGCACTGGAATACTCATATTTAAGTATACTATAATTGTATTATTTGTCCGTAAATTTTCGTAAAATGTAAAAATAAATAAATAAATGTTAATAACTCAATTTCGCTAAAAATGTCGATTACGTTGATTATGATAAGGAGGGCTGTATTTTCTATGTACCATCCCTGTCATCTGGTCCCGGTCTTAAACATTGAAAACGATCAAATTACAATACTGCGACACAAGTGCAAACGTTACATCTAGCCAATTTTAGCCAGTATTCGCCAATTAAGGCTAATAGCCTATCAAGAAGCTAGTGATTTGATAAACTAGATAATTGATGTTTGTGAGTGTTCGATCGTTGTATTAATAATTGTAATAAACTAGTGGATTAATTTCACATAAAATAATTGAATACCAATTCAATAAAAATTGAAGATAATTGAGTTTTAGATATATTCCACCCATTTCGTCTATTGGCACTCCGTCGCTCATCCCCTTGACGGTTTTTGTCAGACTAAAATAATAGTGCTATAAAACGTTCATACGTCAATGTAGGTTGATAGCTTTATCTTACGTCATTAAGGCATCATTCCTCGTCCGTTTACAAATTAAGACACGACAGCGGAGCTCGGTAATATGGGGGTGGGCTAGTCGATTTCCAGACCATGACGTCTCTTATTTTTGCTAACCAACTTCAAAAAAACGGAGGTATATATATATTTTTGTATGTATGTTACGCGATAACTCAATAAATTGTGAACAGATTTTGATCATTCTTTTTTTTTGTCGGAATGACGGTACCTCAGTAGTGGTCCCATTGAAATTAAAAAAAAATTCCATCTTTAAGGCTGGCAAACTAGTAACCGATTTCAATAAAACTTGGCAAATACATGTAATTCCACGTATTTTTAAGGTCAGTTTTTTAGTACTCTGTACTGAGATTATGGGGTATAGCTTTTTATATAGCGAAATGAAACTTGACAATCTTGTAATTTGACAAGTGATGACAATGAAAAGCTTTTTTCAATAAAAAAATAGACATAAATTTACGGCCTAATGTGAATGCGGCGAGAGTAGTAATCGAAGGGCTATAGGCATTCAGTAATCAGGAGTTAGAAATTTCTTTCGGCAACACTTGTTTGTGACGTAACAACCGTAATGGCACCACTAAAGCCGTATAATAGTTATCCTTTAGATAAAAAGGGACAGAGCTGTTAGCCGAGATATCGAAAACGAATTTCAGATTCATTTTCAGCATGTTTTAGTAAGTAAAGCGAAAAAAAAATCGAGTCACTGTCTTTTAAACCGTCGTTTCGACCTGGATGTTTCACCGATATGTATGAAAATAAAACTTGTTGGATAAAACAAATACTTAGCTAACGAGTTCTCAGGTTTTCGCGATTGTTTCACATGTGTAGCCATATAGATATTCACATAGGAACATAAATATATTTCATAATCGCGTGTATTTGTTTTTTTCATATAAACCATAGTTTAGTTAATATTAGACATAACTGGTTGATGACTTTACCATGTCAGTCAGCCGTGACCTGTAAAGTGCCCGGAACGTTGGTTTGTTTTAATAAACAAATATACTCAATTCAGATGCAAAAAATAGTTCCATTTCCTAAATACTTAGGATATCGCGAATCTAAATCGCGTAAATTTGTTTTTCAAACAAACCAAGTTTTCGGGATCTTTACAGATCCCATGGTCACACACGAGTCAGTTAGCTTGTAAAGATCTGGAAATATGGTTTGATCATACGTCAAAAGTGCTTCTTTCACATGAAAGCCATAAAAATCGTAGTAGTCTAAATATCTTGTCTAATGAGCCCCCAATCCATTTTAAGATAAACATGCCTATAATAAAGCTTTTTTACTAAACCTCAATTTGACGTATCTTTCTATATTCCTTATATTTTAGGATAATAAATGACTTCACATTTCTGTAGTGTGTGAACTGAGGGACCACAAATGAATTTACGAAATTAACTTGTAATCGTGGTTTTGTTTTACTTTTATATTTTTCCTTGTGATTTTTACTAATGTTTGCAGGTATATGTATAAATAATATATACTTTTTTATTTATTTACCCATTTATACGTTTTTTAAATGTGGTCTCGCAGGGACTATATAAAGAACGTGTAATAATATATAATCATTGTCAAATTACGTTTTGGTCATTATGTAAATGTTTAAAGAAGTTTTTACTAAGTTTCTGTTAACAAACTATATACATATATAACTATATACCGGCAAACTAAATACTTGCCCAGAAGTGGAACAGACGTGCTTTTAATCATGTAATCTAACTGCTTATAAGTAGGTAAATTACATGATCACAACTTTACTCAATCCATATGTCATTGATTTACTACACTTTTGCACGCAGCGCTTTTCCTCATTCTTCTTGCATTACGTCAAAAGAATGGAATACACTGCAAGACGGCAACTGGAATACACGACATCTGTGTTCCTGAAAGCTACAATTTAAGGCTATACAAGTGTTACAGTGAGACAAAATTTTACTATTGTCGGTCACATCGTTACTTAGAAAAATTTAAAACAAAATTCGTAAAACACAGCATATGGCATCGACAAAACAAACAAACAATTGAACATCTGCACAAAATTCTCACAGTTCGTTTCACTTTAATTGATAATTTTCAATCGTGGGAAGCTATTGTGTTCTGTTGATTCAAGAGACGATTTCTCATTTTGTCGTTCAAACATCGTTCGACACCACGTATTATTTACTACATTTATTAAGTATACACACTTTTGTTAAGTATATACTAAATATATTCGTGATGGAATGAGTAAAGGATAGGAAATTTTCAATTTTCTACACATCACACGTGCAGATTGTTACATAAACAACGTGAATAGCCTGCTAAAGTTTTGTTAACGCTCTGAGCGAATTGTAAATGTGTGATAGATATTCAAACCCATTCGCTATGTTCCAATTTCGGAAACATACAGGATTTCATATTTCGCGCTTGACTTCAAGCCAACTGCCAAGTTGGACAATTAAAGATATATCTGATAATTGAACTCATGTGCTCCGGAGCACATTATCAGGGCCGGCGCAAACCTGTCGATGGGAATGCAGAGGACGTTAAATTTATGAATGTATATTAAATTTATGAATGTATTTTTTATACAATTTCAATTGAAATAAGGTATAAATCACAATGCTCCAACTTGGAGCATCGCAGCGCATTTCTCTCGCATTTCTTTCGTCTCAGAGCATTGAGATTTACGCGTCATTTCAATTATGATAGCGTAAAATATACATTGATATCCTCTGCCCTCCGCCGGCCCTTAAGTTACTATTGTGTCCAAGTTATAAATGTCATTCAATTCTTTAAACAAATTATTAACTGCCTACTCATTACTATTCCATAATCATTTTTCAGATAATATACCTGAACGCTTCCCCAGCCGCTGTCTACAAAACCCTCACAGACGGCTCAGAATGGTCCCTCCTCAACTTTCGCGACGCCTCTGGTGGCCCTCCGCTCTTCGATATCTCTCTTCTAGATGTGCTGCATGGCGTTAAGGTAGCTCATGATGCAAGGTTCTTCGATTTCGAGCACTTTGATGCTGATCAATATCTGTTCTATGAGGTGAGTTAAACAATAAATATTTGTTAACATACACAAGTTATTATGAATTGGTTCTATGTGAGACTGCCATAATAATAGTCACTATTAACTAGCCAAACAGTACTAATAGATCTATCTTACCTATTTCTGCCCCCAAGCTGTAATGTGAGCATTACTGCGTTCCGGTTTAGAAGGGTAAGGGTGCTCGTGAAATTACTGGCACATGGGACTTGTCAACTTATGTCTCAGGGTGCCGGGCGCAGTGGCAGTCCCCTCAGATCTTTACGGTTAAAAGCTCTAAGTGGCACTGCAACTCTTATGGATAGGCGTGTAGCTACCACCAGGCGCACGACTTGTTCTTCCCGTCACTTGGTAATATAAAAAAAATTAATTAGGCAACACTTTTAAGAAATAATTCGACTAATTAAAATAACTAATATAAATTAAGTCAAAATAAAATAGTAACAAAATTGGAATAATAAAGTGTGCGCTGTGTTATTACGGAATCGGTCACCCACTCAGCTTATTGTTGTCTCACTGAATGTGTTACGTCGCTGATTTTCAGTGGACCTGGCAACAGCTCACATGCGACACGGAACACAGCTGACGTATTTTACTAAATAGGTATCGTGTCATGTAATTAATTACAATAAAATTCATTGCGCCATGCTGGACTGCCAAGCAGAAGTCCCGGGTTCGATTCCCGGGAAAAATATTTGTATGGCCTACATATTTCTCTCGTGAGTTTGGATGCAATTTATGATTGTCTATGTGTGTGACCATGACACCCGCAATATCCTTCATTGACCGTGGTCCCATAGCCCCGCACTATGGTCTCCCTAGTGCTATGCTTTCACTAGTGTGTGCGATATCATTATATTTCAAATTAATAAATATTTCATAAAATTTTACTTACCTGGTGTCAAACTAGTACAGGGAATTTCCTAGTTTGACACCATAAGTATATTATTATTATTACGTTACTATTATACTGATTCAATTAACGAAACAAAGTACGTTGGCAATTTAAATACTAGGGCTACATTAAATGGATAAAATGTGTTTCCTGCGGAAGGGCGCCCAGCGTTCCCACTTTATGTGGCTATGCAAATACGTTGGGTAGCTGCCAGCCTGTACGTCACCCATTCGGTACATTAAATTTTCAGAAATGGTGTTGATATTTTATGTCTGGACACAATGATGATAATTTTGATTATTTTTTGTTTGCTTATTTTAGTTGTTATTTTTGGAGATTTTTCTTTTATTATGATATTAAGTGATGAGACGACAAATCGTGCGCCTCAGAGCTTTAAATCGCAAACTGCCACTATTACCCTACCATTGCGACTGTTACCCTGAGACATGCTTGGCGCTAGAAATAGATAATGTGACAGTACTTCCTTGGACGAACTCTTTCACAAAGGGCCCAAAGAACTCTGTCGTAGTGCAGTGATACAGATATGCAGCGACAGGTTAAGCTACGCAAACCTATTCCAAACTTTCAATGTGAACCTTTTATAAATGGTATAAGGTGCAGTTTTCAACCAAAAATTGTCATACTTTAAGGTGAAACCCAGTGTACTAATAAATTAAGTTTACTTGCAGAAAGTTGAAAACGGCGATCTGAACTGGATAATACCGGGCAAGATGCTCGCGTTCTCCGGGCCCCATCACCGCTCACGCCTCGACCGGGGTTATCCCCTCCACTCCCCGGAACACTACCATCAGTACTTTCGTACTTATAACGTGACTACAATTGTCAGATTGAACAAGAAATCATATGATGCAAGGCAATTTACAGCTCACGGGTTTGAGCATAGAGAATTGTTCTTTATAGATGGTTCGGTGCCGTCCGATTTGATCGTGAACAGGTTTATACGAATCACCGAAGCAGCGAAGGGAGCTGTTGCTGTGCATTGTAAAGGTTGGTTTTTATCAATGTCAGTACTTCTACCATGTATTTACAGTATCAGAAAAGCGTAAAATATTTGTATTGCAAATTTTACAGCGCCTCTAACGGCCACAAGAAGAACTAAATTAGTATTACAAATTATTATTTATACGAAGATTTAACAAACACAAAGAAAAATCCCTTCGATCGAATTAACAACTGTTGCCTCGACGTTGCTTACAAATAGTTAGTGTGCTGTACCACCACTATATCGTACTTTATGAATAGAGTAAAGAAACAGGACAGTATGGTCGCGTTCCCATTATATCGTAACGTTTTATTTATCGTTGGACGACTGTCGCGTCTAGCCTGTTCCCATATCACGAGTATATGTCGTGACTGTGTCGTGGACGTTTATTTTATCTTTAGATGACTGTCGTGTCTCTGTGTTCCCACTAGATCGTGACGACAATTTATCGGTTTACGGCAGCAGCTTTGTCATTTGCACGACAGCATCGTTTGGAGCTGCGGTTATCTGTCGTCACATTTTTATCGTAACGTTCTATTTATCGTCAGACGACTGTCGTTCTAGCTCTTCCCATTGTCGCGACAGTCTGTCGTTGTAACGTCAAAAAAGTCGTGAACCACTGTTAATCATGTATGTGAATTAACTTCATTTAAATATACAAGCCACGACATTCTAAACTGCACGACTATCTGTCGTTAAGACATAATGGGCCCGCGCCCAAACGTAGATATCACTAATGCTGTACAATTAGTTTGAAATTTTTATTTAGCCCATTTTTTGTACAGCGATTATTGAGCCTGAAAATCCTTAAAACTGTGTTTAAAACTGCCATTTAAATTGCAGTGGCCCTGTATAATCGTTATTTATGACGTATTTTATTGATACCTTTGTTTTCCATCAGATGGCGCTAACATTTAATTTTCTTTATGTACTTGCAGCGGGTCTAGGCAGAACGGGGACATTAATAGCTTGCTATATGATGAAGCACCATGGGTTCACAGCGCGCGAGGCTATCGCCTGGCTACGCATCTGCCGGCCAGGGTCTGTCATTGGACATCAGCAGTGGTTTCTCGAGAAGTGAGTCTACGTTACTACATGAGTGATTAATTCGAACTAAACCAAAGGTTCTGTTGCAATATGACCGCTGTCAACCATAAGTCATGGTAGCCTATTTATTGGTGTGACGCTACCGCCTCCTACCTCTTGTTTTAGTTTTTCGGAATTTATGTGCTTTTCGGTGAAGAAAAACTTCGTGATGAAACCTGCACGCCGAAATAGGTTCACAACCCTGGAAAAATGTGTTAAGTCCCCAACCTGCATTGGGCTAGCTTGACGGACTATGGCCTAAACCCTCGCCTGAGAGGAGACCCATACAGGGCAGTGGGACGTAGGTTTAATGACGATGACTGTTACCATCAAATAACTTTAGTCAATAACCAAAAAGTAGATTTACTGTAATCGCATACAGACTTTCGATTATTTAATAAAATACGTGTCGTAGTTGTCCCATCAATTCGTAAGAAGCGTTTCTTCAAAATTTGCGAACTTTTGCGCACAATTAGGTTAGGAAATCCGCCGTATTTCGTATGAACGATACAAATTAGATATTTGAAAGATTGGAGCGAACAGGCGTCTTCGTGATCGAGTACCATCCTCGTCTACGTCTTCTTTCCGTCACAATATGATGTTCTGACGTGCCGCCTTCTACAAACATTTTTTCCAGCGATCTTGCTTTGAATGATAAGCTGGAGTAATTTGTACTTATTGTTCCTCATGTTCTGGCCGAAGTACAAATCTTCCTGCGTATCAAGCGCAATAGCGCATAGTGTTCATAAACACCACCTTTTTCTTTAACTTATTAAATATTTCTACATTTATAACCTAGTCACAGTTTCTCAAGATACAGCGCTAAACCCATATGTCCAAAGGTCTTTTTTAGCTTCTTTGTTGCGTTCTCTGTGTGAGTGTAATTTCCTACGCCTTATAGCAAAACTAAGAAAACGTAACAGAATGTAATGCGCAATCTTAAACTGAGACTCACTTCTATCATACATTACTTTATTATAATTTTATTAATACAAAGATTGAACACTAAGAAAAATTCCTTCGATTTGGCTGGATAACAACCAGCGCCATCGCCAGCATACCTTGCCTGACGTTCTCCCAACTGACCTTGTGAATATTTCTATGTGCTCTCTGTGAGAAATCTATGAAAGTTTTTTTTTCATATATACGTAGCGTGACCATAATTTTTTTCCCTCAGAGCGGATTAATACCTGTAAATTTTTATTGTTTAAAATGTTTGTTTTTTTCAAATCAAAAATTTTAAGAAACTACTAATCTTGTGTAGTCGCTGTGTAGTCAGTGAGCTGGCTGTATGTATTTTTCGCCTTCGCCATTTTTTTAAAATTTATTGTCACGTACGTTCTGTTTTGTCAAAGCGGGACATTTATAGTATTTTGGGGACAGCGGCACACGAACTTAAAAGCGGGACATAGGGTCACGTTATTTGTATACGTGATGTTTAATAAATTTAACATTACATAGCACTTTATTCATATTGAAGAAATTTTAACGAGTCGTAACACTAAGAATGTATATTATTAATATACATTTTATTTCCACAGCATCCAAACGCGCATGCACGCGGAAGGCGAAACGTATCGCCAACGTCACAACATGACGTCATACCCCGTTTTCACTCGCGGCATCTACAGCGACCTGCCCCCCGAACCTCTGCCCGAGCCGTCCGAAACCATTGCAAACGCCAAAGGGAACAATACCGAAGAAAAGCCTGTGTCGTTGCAGAGCATATTGAATAATAAGAACACTAATAAGGTATGTACTCTTTACGTCGTGTCAGTACACACCTGATTGTAAGCGACACGCCTGTCCATGACAGTTGCAGTGCCACTCAGTGTTTTAAATCACAAAGATTTAAGGGGCACTGCCACTGCGCCCGTTACCCTGACACATAAGTTGACAAGTCTCATGTGCCTGTAATTTCACCAGTAGCCTTACCCTTCATAACCGGAACGCAGTAATGATCACATTACTGCTTGGCAGCAGAAATAGGTAAGGTGGCAGTACCTCCCTAGATGAACTCTTTCACAAGGTGCTCTACTGCACATTAAATGATTTCAAATGTGCTAAGTAACAATTTATTATCTATCACAGCTGGACAATGCAAATGCGCTTAATGCCAACGAGACAGACTCCGAGAACAACGTGACTACCGTCATCGGCAAGTACAAAACCATACCCACACCTATGCTACCCACCAAGACTGTCTTCACACCCAAACTGAACTACATGTTGCCTACAAACAATATAAGAAACTCTGCGAATACGAATTTGAAGCCTCAACCGAGGATAATTAACTCTAGTTTAAAGTCGCACTATGCGGCTAAGACGTCTACCTTCCCGCCAACAAGGAGTGCCAACGCCCAAACCAGTAAACTAGCTGGCAGTGTCAAAAGCCCCTTTACAGGCAAAAGTAGCTTCCATGGTCAGCGTGCCAATCTTGCAAGACCTACCATCAGCTTCACCCATAGCAGCCCTTTAAAAACGTCGCGAAAAGTCGTCAGTAAAATTACATCCAACGATACTAACGTAGTCAATAATTTAAGCAACGTAACTTCCACTCTATCTGCTTTGACTGAAAACTGTCATTTAAACGGAAAGAACAGGCTACCATCAGAACCGAACTTAAAATCCGTAAATCAAACAAAAACAACAGTGACTAATTTAACACGCAAGAAACTAATTATTCGATCGAATTCAAATTCGCGCAAAAAGTTACCGAAAAGCAATCTTGCCAAATCGGGTTTGGAGAGTACACAAGATCTGTCTTCCAGTGACACAAATGTTACTAACATATCTGCAGACTCGCTCGAAACTCCGTTCAGATTTAGACGAAAACGGGACAAATCAAATAGCCCAGAACCAATGGAATGCATTACAAATTCTGTCATCACTGCTGACGTAACGCCTGACAATTTCGAAGAAACAAATAATTCGCAAGGAAATAAACTTTATAAGATAAAGGCGTTAAGGAAGAAGTGTCCTGCGTTCGGTGTAAGTTTGTTAAAGAAAGATGGCGTCCAAACTCGGTCGAGTAGTTGTGCCAGCAGCTCAACGGTTAAAAAGAAATGATCTCTGTGAATTGATGTTAGTTTAGATTATATTTGCATGTCATAGAGATTCTATAGGTTATTTTGTCTTGACTACTTAATGGAGACTGTTCCAAAGTTTTTAAACACCTATATAGAGAGTGGACATGTGCAATGTACTATTAATTGTTGTGTGTATATAGGATAGATTTATTTGAATATGGCGATAATATTAATTTCATCAAAAGATCGCTCTCTGTTAACTAGTCAAGCACAATATTGTGCATAGCACATAAAACTATTATAAGGTAATTTTAGAGTTGATAGATTTGCATAGATGCTTCTCTTTATGCCGGGTTCACGAGACTGCCTTGCCTTTGTTTGGGTTGTCGACAATCAGCTACTGCTTTATGATTGGCTGAGTGATGATGTCCTCTGCGAATGGTCCTTGCGTGGAAGTATCAAGCTAGATATCAAACTCACGCAACGCAAAGAAATCCAACACAAAGCAAGAGACCGGCGCAAGCGAGCGACTCGTTAACAGTCCTACATGCGCGTATGCGACAGATCTTTGCGTATGCGCGAAGCGAGTCACGCAAGCAAGCGAAAATCGTAAGTGAAAGACTCGTAAACCCGGCCTTTACGGAGGGAGTAACTGAGAGTTAATGATTAAATAAACTCATATCAATTCAGAATTTGTAAAACAAACAGTGATGTGCTATGTTTGGTCTAGACAAATTTATCAACTTGTTTATGTTTCATCGTTGTTGTGTAGAATATAATACGTGGTGTTAAAATTCACTACAATCTGATGAACTTAACCTTTGAAGGTTACGGCAGGTTAAGGAAGGTATATACCTAGTTTTTTTTTATGATATCAAGTGACGGGACGAACAAGGCGCGTGTTGGCAAGCTTAGAGCTTTAGATCGCAACGATCTGAGGGGCACTGCCATTGCGTCCGTTACCCTAAGTATTAGGGTCTAAGTCATAATAAGTAAACAAATCCCATGTGCCTGTAATTTCACCAGCACGTTAGCCTTCAAAACCGGAACGCAGTAATGCTCACATTTTCCTGGACGAACTCTTTCACAAGGAGCTGAGTTGTATAGTTTCGCGTTACTTTACAGTAGCATTAACTCCTTATTTTTTAAAGTTATTCATGAAGGGTCTGAAACACTCAGAGAAAATATATTCTTAAATTATTTACCTACTCCGAAAAGATAAAGTAACGCTGTAACAAGATACAAGAATAATTTTCTGGTTCTTTGTGATGTAAGAATATGCACAAAAGAACTAAATTTGTGCTTCTCTATTGGATATTAAGAAAGAACGTTTCAAATTTCATGGTGTACCCACCATACCAAACAGCTTTTCCTAAATCGCGAAGAAATTGTAAATTTGTTATTTTTAGACGTATTTTTAAATTTGTTATTTTTAGACGTAATTTTTAACGTTCTGTACATAAATAGGGTGTGTGAATTTTGATATCACGTATATTTGAATGTTGTAAACCTATAAAAGACAAGCCTAAAAGTTTTTTAATCCTTATATGTGTTAGAATGAAGTTAGTGTCTGTAGGTGGGTAAAGCAGTCGGCTGATTTTCTGATTTACTTATTTTTATAACGATACATTATGTACGATGTTTTATAATGCTTTTATTTTTTGTTATATATAAACAATAAGCATACTTTTATAATATCTCTAATTTATCAACGCTGGACTTACTTATCGATGCCTTACTTTCTCAAACTCGTATCTTATAAAGAGTGATTATTCAGGACATGGCAAAACTTTCTATTTACTTTTTTTGTCAAGGGTGTTCATTTGGGTGCATTACTGTAATAATAGGTTAAATCCAGTCTGCAAATATGAAGGAAATGTGTTGTGAAATCAGCCTGCAAAATTTGTATGTACAATCCATTTTTTGCGTTGCAGTAACTTTGCGCTTTAAGAAATGAGTTTGAGAAAGTAAGGCGACGTTATGTTGTTTCTCTTTTATATTTTTTTTTATACAAATGTTATATCTTTTTAAAACTATTGCCTCTGTTTCCTTTGTTTTTTCTTTAACTTCAGCTCGTAACAATTTTTTTTTCTTGTTTTTCGAACACTCCGTATCAGAAGTTTTTATAGTTATTTTTCATTTAAACATTTTATTTTTGTTTATAATTTTTTGAACTCTGTCGCATGTGCTTAACAAACAACAAACAGAAAGGGGTACTTTTCGTACGTTTAAGTAAATATATCAGTCTCTTTCACCCTCTATTGGTTTGTAAAGGAGACGGAGATAATTAGTACACAAGTCCAAATAATATGCAATAGTGTATCGGACTGTCGGCATCCTGCCTATATCACAACTCTACGTGCAATTTAGCGTGACTTTGAATGTTACTAATACTGATAATTCGAATGGGCAAATCATTCGCCTAAGTCGAATCCAAACACAATCATTCGACTCGAATCGAATGATTAACACTCCGTCGACCGAATGCCCCTGCCATTCGGTCAGGTGCACGAGTCCAATGATTATTATAACACTGATCGGAACGCCTCATTCGTCTTGTCTATACAACAAAATATCCCTGCCCTGTCACATTTACAGTATTTACCCTATGTCAGAGAGGGTTAGGTGATCACGAGCAGAAATGCTCTATGAAATCTATGGATGACTATTACTAATTAGTAATGAATGATCATTCAAATCATTCGAATACGAAAATGAGTAGGTTACTAATTTGACATTCGAATGACAGGATTCACAATTCGAATGTAGTTGATTATTTGCAATATTACCACAAGTACATTGCAACTGCAGGTTATTTGAGTGCGCGCTTGCAGTCATCGAGCAGTTGGTAATGAAATTGGAGCAACTGCATTGAATGTACGTATCAGGCAGTATTGTTTTTTACATAGTTAAGGCGGAGAATAACGCATATTGTTAGCTATGTACTCAATAATATTTTAGAGAAAATTGAATTGTCCAGTTTTTCAACTGAAAGCATCGATGCAATGATAGCTTAATATAAGTGTCGTAATATGACGATGTTGGCGCAAAAAAATCGATAAGAATGTTACAGCCAAGGCAACTAAAAGGTTAATGTCTGTTCTGGCAACTTGTTTTTTTTTTCCACAAATCCCCACTGCTTAGCTGCACCTGCGTACTCGTAGTGGGGTACTTGGGAGAAATAATCCAACTTTTAAGAGGATTAATGGAATACACCCTTTTGCACTTGTGTCACAGTTGCGTCAACCTCCGTACCAATTAACTATATTTTATAATACAGTGTTTTAGTAAATCAGCCGATTAAAAATATACATTAAGGAGAAAATATTTTTGTAGTGTTATTGTTCTAATAAGTGATAATATGAATGCCATTTTCTTTGCTTATTTTTCTAGCTTAAGTTTACTATTGATTATTGTTATTTACTATTAATTTGATATACCATATTATCAAATCATATTTGCTGTGTGTCCGTTGTATTGAACATTATTAAATTGCGTCCTAAAATGTTTTGTTGCTAAAATGGTATCACAAATCGTTGTTGTTATATAAACATTTATTATTTCGGAATGTCTAGAAAATATGGAATATTTCTGTATTCAATAGATACATTTTTAGAGGTGATCATAGTCATTAAACAATATTTATTTTGGTAATACTTTTTTACTACGAAAAAAATATGAACAGTCATTGTCTTGACCAAAATGTTTGGACCAGTTTTTTTTTCGCGTTTTGCAAGAGGCCGTGTCATAGTAAAATTTGTGACCAATGAAACATCGTCACCCATTCCGTATAATAACTACAATACTTCCTCCTTGTCATAAGTTCATAAATAACGCTTTTACATTTTGGTAGCTTTCGAGATATTGGTACCTAAAGATTTTTTTTGCTTTGAAAAATGTTAAAAAAGTAAAACTGAAACTAAATAAGATATTTAAAAACCGATTAGAGAGAGTAGTATATCTCGTTAAGCTGATCCCAGATGAGTTACAACTCAATTTCGCTAAAAATGTCGATTACGTTAGTTCTGACAAGGAGGGCAAAATACATGAAGTTTGGTAAAGTTCTACAAACTTACTTAGCTACACACATATCATAAATCCTCTATGATGTGTTCAAAAACCGCTAATTACGACCAGCATAAAGATAAACTATTTTGTTACAACAAATTTCTTACCTGTGAAAATGTTATTGTTGCATAATAATAGCGTCGAATACGATTTTATTATTACATTCAAATTTCGAACATCTCTGAAAAACAAAACTTGATTCGACCGTGAGAAAAGTTTTTGCCGCCATTTCGCCAGTCGTAACATGCGGTTCCTGAACACATCATAGAGAGCTTATAATATGTGTATAGATAAAGCAGTGTACATAATTAGGCATTAAAACACTCGTGTGATGTTTTTATGAAACTCGCTTGTCGGCTCGTTTCATAAACCCACGCTCGTGTTTTAATGCCTTTCATTATGTAACAGTCACATAAACTCCTATAATTTTACCCATGGTGAGCGGGTAAATAATTTTTACTTACATAACGTGCAAGTAATGACATTCTGCATTAATTTATATTCATCTCACTGTTTCATCATTCATTGCATTCATTTATCCCACAGGTCTCTTCTTAAGAGGGTCCAACAAATTGGTATTAAGCAATTTGATTATAAAATAACGACATTACCAGGGACCGAAATGGTTTACCATCATAAGTCTTTCAACGTGTGCAAAATTTAACACAAAATGTATGTTGATAATAAGATATACAGTTAATATTTCGATGGAACCGAAAATAAAAACATTGTAAATTAAATGTTGCGTTGAATTTTGCACACGAGTTGAAATACAAATAAAGATCACCGCTTTCGGTCCCTGATTAATACTATTAGAAATACCAAAATCTCATGACACAAATTACAATCTGACCTATCGGATTTGACCAGTAACTGCGATAGAACACTTTCGTTACTTTAATAAAGTTAATAGGTAATTCGTATTGCATACACTACAGAATAAATGCAGATAAGAGGACGCTTATTATGAATATAATTAGGCCCGTTATTGGCATTAATAACAACGCCTAAGCCTGGTAATAGGAATTGGCGTTTCTAGCTCACGCATTAAGTGGGAATGTGATCCTTATGGGCGAGAATGGCTTGTGTGCGTTTAAAGGGGCCTTGTGAAGAGTTATGTCGTTTTGATTCTGAGTGAGTGTGTCTTGTTAGTTCTGGCTCATACGTTAAGTGGGAATGTGAGGGTTATGAGAGTGTGTATAAGGGTGATAATGGTTTGTGTGTGTATAAAGGGGCTTTGTGAAGAGTTGTGTCTGTATTAATAATTATAACAAACTATATAGTTAGTAGAGTAATTTCATATCTCATGTTGTTTTTTTAAACAAGCCAACGGGCTCTTTACAGGTCTCTAGACCACGGTACTGGGATGGTATTAGTCCAACCCTTATGGTCTATAATTAATAGAAACCACAATATTCTGAACTAACCTTTTACATGTTACGTTAAAAATAAGTTATCGTTGATGCACTCAAGTGATATTAACTAAGATCTTACCTATCTTGTAGTTGAAATGGATTTATTAATACCGGCCTAAGTGTTACCTAAAACTTTTTTCAATTTCCTCACTTGTCATGAGCATTTGGTATTGCTATATATTTTTTTTGTTTTGCTATATTTTTTATTATTATTAGTATTGTGGGTAGCTTTTGCGTAATAAAAAAAATTAAGTATCATCCATCACAGATAAGGTCACAAATACCTTATTCGTTAATAAATTACTTTTCATTATTTATGAATAGGAAACGAAGTGTTTGTACTCATAATAAAACTAACTTACTTTTTGAAAAATAAAATTGTTTCCCGTACTTGTAAGCAATCAGATTTCTTTAGTGCGGTCAGTAAAACATTTAATTTTTTCGATTTGTAACGGTCGATAAATATTTAAAAGTCATATACATAGAGAAATAGGCGTAAACAAGGTGTAAGAAAAATTTCATGGAGTGACTCTATTGATGATACTGAATAATTTTTTTCAAAGAACTCTTATTGAATTCGCGGAAAAATTTGTCCGTAATTTTAACAATATGTAATTTAATACGTTATGGGATGTAAATTTTCATCTTCTACTATGAGCACCAGAGCAAACATAACTCTGAGAGCAAAGCCCAGAATACCCTGACCAGAACCAACTTAAAAATGTTTGTTTCATAAGTTGGCTGAAATTGGGAATCGAATTAGGAACCTCCTAATCAAGCGCCCATAGTATTAATCGCTTTGCCACCGAAGAGCATTAGCATACCCCGAAGTCGGGAGGCGACCACGCGCCGCAGGCCGAGCCCGATTCCACCGTAGGGCTCGTATCACATATTTGAATGTGGTAAATATGTAAAACACAAACTAAAAAGTTTTTAATCATTAGTGTTAGAACAAATAATGTCTGTAGCTGAATTAAGTAGTCGATTATAGGAAAGTGGGTTTCCTTTCCGACTGTGTTTCATATTGAAATTGAAAACCCTTTTTACAAAATTGGTTCACAAAATTGGTTGGCAAAATGGGTTCTTTAAGAAAGACGCTCAGTATCATGGGTTTCTACTCTGTGTCGTACTAGGTACGTTTACACTCTACATAATATCAACTAGTCTCCTATATGCAGTGTCTTTAGATATACTTGTTTGCGTTTGGAAAATCTATAATAAATAAATACCTTTATATTATCATGTAAATAATCCACCACTATATGTATAGAGCTTTTTTAACGAAACCTGTAAAATTACGAATTTACCGCATCATATCAGATTTTCTCAACAATATTTGCTTATTTTCAGGTCGTGTGATGGTTTTATTTAAAAATATTTTTTGTTGAAAATAAGAGATATAGTTAAATTTTTCCACGGATACTTAAGTTTTATTAAATCTTTGTAGTATAGGCATTTACAACATTTTTCATAAATCTTTTTGTATCTAACCTTATCTTTTGCCTGAATATAAGCAGATCTAAAACTTGTTTATAGTTTCAGCTATGTTATGAAAGATTGTTGTGTTTGTTACTGGTATTGTGTTATTTTCACGTGCGCCTACTATTTTTATAGACCTTTGCATTTATTATTATTGTGCCACCAACAGATGGCACTACTCGTCAGCGACATCGAGATAATGAGTTAATCACGATTCAGTACTTTCAGTAAAGGCACAAGCTGTAGTTCATTAGGTATGGCGTATTGTATACAATTTTAAATTTAATGCAAATCGAATGAAAATTGTAAGCGCACCATAACCTTACAACTGTATACGTTTACGCTTTTCACTCGCAGCTATAGAGAAAGTGGTTGTTATACAAAAGTGAGTGGAATTGGGTCGGACTTGGATGTTTAAATTATAAATTTATGAAATTGTAGTTGATCAAAATAGAAACTCAGAATGAAAAAGGTTAGATTAGAGTTTTTACAAACGAAACGAAATCATAATAAGGTTCATTTAATACAAATATGCAATCTCGTCGTTTCTACTGAAGTTTGTGTTTTTTGTAAATGCGACATAAGACATAGTGTTGACCCACTCTGATTGATCGATAAGATAGTTGGACATGGCGTAAAAGTTTTCTGTTTAGCCACTGGATGGCAGCACTTCCTCGACGCTTTTGATTACTAATTTGTATTTAATAGGAATGCTTAGATAGTTATATTTAAAAGTGTATTACTTACTCTATTAAGGACAGACAAACCAACGCGTTTGTTACACAGGGTTATTTGTAAAATATTAACAATCTCGCAAGATTATATTATCAACATCATAGACAGCAACTTTTGTTTCATGCCTTTTTATAAAACAATAAATTTACAACAAACTTTTAAGTTTTTGTTGTATTGTATACTACTACTACATAGTACGATAAATTCCTAAAATAAACGCCTCCCGCGTGCCGTCATTCATAAATAGTAGTTTATGTGACTGTTACATAATGAAAGGCATTAAAATACGAGTGAGGGTTTATGAAACGAGCCAACAGGCGAGTCTCATAACTCATATCTCACAAATGTTTTAATGCCTAATTATGTACAGTTCATACACTGCTTTATCTATACACATATTATAGCTCTCTGTGATGTGTTCAGGAACCGCATGTTACGACTGGCGAAATGGCGGCAAATAAAAACTTTTCTCACGCACGTCACACAACCGTATTTTTATTTTTTATTCATAGACAAACTTGAATCGGCCCCAACTATCACATCGTTCGATATCAAGCTTCTCAAAATTGTTTGCTATTGACATTTAATTTCGAATAAAACTTCATCTCGACTGATGTTAGAATTGAGGTTCAATCAAATTGCTTCGTTTTTCAGAGATGTTCGAAATTCGAATTCAATGTTATTATGAAGCAATAATAACATTTTCACTGGTAAGAAATTTGTTCTAAGAAAACAGTTTACCTTTATGCTGGTCGTAATTCGCGGTTTTTGAATACATTATAGAGAGTCTAGATAAAATAATTTTATTGATGGGTGCTTTCTTTTAATACCGCATTGAGTTATCACCACTTAGAGCGATCAATTTAAAATATTTTTATCTTTGTACGAAAATAAAATGTAGTGAAATATTAAAAATCATGGAACAAAAGAAAGACGAAGCATGAGTGGCACAACTGATCACATTCGCGGACGAATGCTGAGCGTGTTGGTTTGACCAAACGGTTTTGTTATTGATCAACTACAATCGCGTAATGATATCTTTTTTTTTGACATTATTATATTGTTAAAATTTATGAAATTTGTATTTGTTTTTTTTTTTTTGATATTGTTTACTTGCTCTACATCTATCAATCATATTTAGAAATTTTAAAAATCTCGCCTATAATTTCTAAGAATGTTCATTTTTCTGTTTTTTTTTAATGTGTCGGAACGATGGAAGGGACCAGAAAGCTTGGACAATGTTGTTTTGAACCTGTTGTTTAGATATAATTTGAATTTATATAATTATGTTGTGATCTTGAAATCTAATCAGTTAATACTAATATGCACTATTGACGAGGATTTAAAAGTACTTATTATATAAATTCTACTGAATTTTGAAGTGGTTTTCCGATCGATATAAATAAAATGATTGCTATATTTACTGAAGACAGAAACTACATCAAAAATAGTTCTTTTAATTAAAACCAATCGGTAGACATTAAAATTCACGTAAAATTATTGAACACAAAAAAAAACTGAAATCGGCACGTCTTTTAATGCATTTTTTTGAGACATTACGTATCACTTTGTTAAAGTAATATTACTTTTCGTAGTTTAAGCAATATGTACCCTTCTAAATCGGAACGCAGTAATGCTAATATTACTGCTTGGCGGCAGAAATCAGTAAGGCAGTACTTCCCCGGATGTACTCTTTCACAAGGAGCTCTACTGCTGTTAAGAAACTGCGCTATCAAGTCATCTTTATGAAAAATGCTGAAATAGCGAATATATCAACTAAGACCGGTCTTATGCGATGAAAACTTTTAAATCTATTAATGGTATTTTTGGAACAACAGGTTCCAGGAAATTCGTCACGGGAACGAGACAAATACGATTTTATTCTGTTTGCCGACTGTTTGGTGCCATTTTTCAATTTAACATATCAATAGGTACTTTTAAATCCTTGAGTCCATTACCAATAGGTATGTGTAAATAATGTTTATGAAGCCATGACGAGTGGTGACAAAACGCTTGTGCTTATTAAAAAATAAAAAAGATATATTCCAATTTAACAATTTGTTTTATTTACAAATAATCACAGATTTAGGTAGATCGTGATGGAATATTAGAGTTCACTGGTATCTTTTTCTGTTTACCCGGTCACGCGATTGTGATAATAAAAAATTTTTAATTTTTTTACTGACTTATCAAATAAAAAAACTGGTGGATCAAATAATAACTGCGCGTTAAACATTGACTTACAAATAAATGGACGACGGGTCTAATACAAAAACCACGAAAAAAATGTCCCAAGTCAACCTATTCGAAATTTAAATTGTTATGTCATCGCAGTATCGCGCTGTCCGTAGAACAAATGAAGACTAAAGCGGAGTGTCGCGCTCTGTATACGATTTTAGCGCCTTACAAGTGCGGACACTTTTTAGCGCGGACCCGACGTCCATATAATTGTAAGTCAATGGCGTTAAAGATACCGTGTGGCTCTCGGATGTATGACGAGTTAGATACTGATAAATAACATAGTAGAATAGGAACAATTATGGTAACTCCTTACTAAAGGCGCAGCGCGTCTTGTACATTCAAGAGCATCTTCATTTCTCTAGTGAATAGCGAACCATTTTATTTCATAAAGCTCTATTTACACTGCTGCGGAAGGGAATAGAAGCGAATTTTGTAACCATATATAATGAACTTAAGGGCACTCCCGACGAGGGATCGCCTTATTGTCACATTAACTAAACTACGTATCCGTTAGTGTGACATAGGGCCGAAACAAAATTGCGATGCGATGTCGCATTGCAGAAATCTACGAGCTTGCACGCATTCCTGGGAAAGAAGATTTTCTTTGTGTTTTTTTATATCAATAACAACAGTGCAACACTCTTACGATCCATGTTGCTACCTAGTTTAAAAAATACGTTCAGTACGGTTGATGGTCGTCGAAAGAATGGTTACTCGAATCGTGGCAGTGAGATGCCTTACCGCACGAAATCACATCGCAGCAATTCGCGTCGTAGTTTTCTGAGTTACCGATCCGCAGTTTTGTATTTCGACCCTTATGGGGGCTCCCCCACCGCGAGTATCGCCTGTGATGTAACAATCTAAGATTCATGAGAATCCGCGGCAGCGACTCGACGGCTCGACGGAAATTGCGCGTCAAACCCTGGAGACCGCCCGGTCACTCAGTACGGGTGAGGGCACGCGGAGTGTTTGAGTAGCATCTCAATCGATATTTTAATTAGCAAAAATACGACATTCTTTTTTTGAAACTCAAATAGTAATTTTTCAATACAGTAGCGCGTACCATAGACAATATAATTTTGGTTCAAACTAAAAGGGCGCTTTTGTAATATATTTCATGAAAATTATGAAATTGTAATTGACAGATTTTGATCTGTAAAATTCAGGAGTAGAAAAAGTTCTTTATGCTATTGTTACAAAAATTCGCCTTCATTCTGGTCCGCGGCAATATAAATCGAGTCTTAGTATCTGCATGCTACATCACTTGGATATTCATTCAACACTAGTAGTCAAATATAGGCTGTACACACTCAGTGGTTTACAAATAAACGGATGATTTTTTAATTATCAACCTTTAGCCGGATTTACATTTGTCGGACGTGTCGTGTCGTGACGCGTTAGAACGGTATCGGTTTCATACACACAACACATGCCATCACAACAGGTTGCGACACACTAATATAAATCTAACCATATAAATGTCAATCCGGCTACGCGCCTTCAAATTGGGAGATTACGTAGTAGCACTTTCCAGTATCGACAGACGCGTACGAGTCGCTCAACCTACTATCTTCTTACCAATTGTATACAAGAAAGATGCGTGAAAGCAACGAAAATTATAACTTAAAAACTTAATTACAACCAATTGTACTCTTTGAACAATCTATAATCTAGAACTCATATTGACTAACGATTACAAATAATCTAGCCACGGCGCTGCCTGCGAACCGCCGTAGCTGGTGGAGAGACATGACGAGCTCCATTTCGCCCACCTGTGGGCCTTCAGGTGAACATCGAAGTGATACCACGCAGATGTTGTTCATTGGTCGCATGCTGAAATAACCGAGTAAAGAAAAGGTTAATCACATTGAACATAGCAGCAGTTCATATAACGTTGCACAGAATTATATTGGTATAGACCACAGTGTCCCAAAGTGGTCCCTCCGAGTGGGCGCTGAAGAGTCCTAAGGGCAGGCGGCAGGGGCCTCGGAAGTAATTGGGGCCCCCCAATCTCGACGCCCTTTGATGCTGTCTCAAAAAAATATAAATATATAAACTACGCTACATATAATTTTTTCCTTGTGATTTTTTGTGTTATTTTAATATAAAAAAATACGTGTTTTCATTTATTTTTGTGGTGGTGGGTGTTGAAATTTTTTTATTTCGCCTAAGTGAGCGGTGGGCCAAAAGTTTGGAACCTATGGTATAGACAGCTGAATGTGGAAAGCACCTTCATAAGTCTACGAAAGATAGATCGAATTTTATTAAGAATTTCCGTCTCCAGCTACTTGGAATGGACCTGTCGTCCAATCTCAACTTCGGCAGATACATTGAATCCATGGCCAAAAATGCAGCCAGGAAGCTTAGCATCCTTTCCAAGGGTAGGCATTACTTCACACCGGGACAGTTGCTTCAGCTATACTAAGCACAAGTCCGGTCGTGTATGGAGTACTGCTGTCACTTATGGGATGGCTCTGCTAAATACCAACTGGCCACCTTGGACTCAAACGATAAACATGCCAAGAGGCTTATAACTGACTCGGAATTGGTAGAGGCGAAGCTGCCGAACCTTGAACATCGCTGTAAAGTTGCGTGCTTATCGGTATTCTACAGGATATATCATGGAGAGTGTGCGATGGAATTGCATAATTTGATTCCGCCTTCCCCTTTACATCATCGGGGGACTAGGCGTAGGCTGGGATTCCACCCCTATGTTGTGGATATTCCAAGGATTCGCACGAAGCGTTTCGCTTCTATATTTATATGGCGAACGGCTATGAGTGGAATTCCCTGCCTGCAGACTTGTTCCCTGAAAGTATATAGGTATAACTTGGGCCTTTTCAAGGCGAGAGTGAACAGGCATTATGTGTGCATGCTACATTGTCGACCTCATCGTCACTTTCCACCAGGTAAAATGGAGGCCAAATGCGCACTTATTTCTTTCTTTTTAAATGGTTTTTGTTACGGAGCTGGCACCACACAATAGTTAATGGTTATGCAAGGCTGAAAAGTTGTTGTTTGACGCGAGTGCTTGTATTGAAACCTGAGCAAGCGAAGGATTCCAAGATTGAATATTTGTGACTCGTTGTCGTCATAGCTTCGAAGCCAATTTTTGTAACCATAGTGTAGCGTAATGCACTTTATGTCAATTATGTAACGTTCAAATTCGATACGAGCCAAAAACCAGGTCGGGCGCTTTCGAGAGAATCCGCGAAGTTTCTGGAATTTCCGCAGCTACCGCATAAGACCTAGTTTGTACCTGCGTTACACAATTGAGACAAAGTTCATTACGCTATGATTACAAAAAGTCGTTAGATTTCGTGCTGACGTAATGTAAATTGAATCCATCGTGTTTACGTAGTACTTTTATACAATAGAAGAGAACTTACACAAAACAACTAAGATCCATAGGCTTGACGCCGTCAGGCGCGTCGACTTTGAGCATCCGGAGCTCAAAGGTCACCTCGCTGTCCGTCCATGCAGGGCCGTGCATCGTGAATAGATCCACCTAGAAATACATATAGACTTCTTATTTGGCATCTGGGACATGATGCTAGACTTTTTTTACGATACTAAGTAACGGAACGAACAAGTCGTGTGTCTGTTGGCAAACGACACGCCTGTCCATAGCAGTTGCAATACCACTTAGAGCTTTAAATCGCAAAGATCTGAGGGGCACTGCGCCCGTCACCCTGAGACATATAGGTCGTCATGTGACGACCGCCGTGATTGAGTGAGTTGTACACCGGTTTTCATGGTGTCGCCATCTCTGAGGTCAATGTAGAAAATAACTTTATTTTTATTATATATTGTCGTGGGTCTGGGTGTTTGCGGTACCGTCGTTGTTTCCGATTTCCATAACACAAGTGCATTGGTTACTTACTTTGGTATCTAAGCAACGTATGTGATGTTGCATAACAGTTATTTGTTATTTATTTCACCAGCACCACACAGGCAGTATCTACTTCAGGGCTCATTGAAAACCAGCGCCACAGTCAATCATGGCTGTGGCTTATGTTGAATGAAGTCCTTTTGCGTACGCCACAACCGCACACATGACAGTACAACATTTGTAGTCGTTACATTTAGTTTGTTTTGCTTTTTGTTTGTTTTGTCTTATTTTATTTTTTTTTTACTCTCTCTTGAAAAGTTGTTGTTTTGCACATGTGGCCATATTACACCAAATGTGCGAAATATTATGTTGCATAACTCTTCAAGTTAACTGACTAAAGCAATGACAGCGCAATGTGAGAGTGTCTCTGGCACAGCTGTTGTTCGTAGGAGCCCCAGGACATGTTCGTGTGTATGTAAACCTTATTGCTTCCGGCTAGTGTTGTTAAACAGAAAGATGACAATACTCACACTGCCATGCGGCAGGAATGCGTTGGCGACGAAAGTAATGAAATTGAAACTGTAGGTACTGGGCTGCTGGATACAGTTCCAGTCCCCCACTTGGCATGAGCGCTGGACGCGAGTGCATATGCTGCGGAATTTGAAATGTTTGATTAACCTAAAGACACTAGGTAAATCCTGAGGCTTTTGGTAACACAAATATATATTTATTTAATAGCGGATGAAACAGCTGCACGTTAGAGAGACTTAACGGCTTTAGGACGTTATTCATTTGGGACATCGTGTGTATCTGGAACACATGACGGGTTAATAATAATAATCCATTTATTTCAGACTTACATTCATGCATAATATTTGTTGGTAAAGAAAAATACTTAAGCTAGTGTTAGGTTTAAAATAATGAAATAAAACTAGCCAATGTCAGGATAACTGGCTACGCATTGGCAGCAGTGTGCCAGCGCATCCACCGCCCCAGCATTGGGGACTCCAATCTTTCCACCAATGAGCGCAGGATGCTGTTCGTACTGAGATGCATGCGACGGAGTAGCTTTGCACTACGCTTTCGCATGATAGCGTAGAAATCGTCTACATATTTCTCAGCAAACATGGTTGACGCGCTACAGAAAGGTGGAAGTCGGAACAGCATCCTGAACGCATTGTTGCACTGGATGCGCAGTGCTCCGTATGTCCGCCCGCTCGCTAGCTCGTCCATGTACGGGTTGAAAAGCCGCGGCGAACTCAAAGCCCCCTGCCTAAGTCCACACTCCAACCTGTACACATCCGATTGAGCACCCGCCCACCTCACTGTATTGTTTTGGTGGCTGTACCAGAATTTTAAAATTGCAGTCAACTCGCATGGTGAACCAGTCTCACTCTCCAGCTTGTGCCAAAGAGTGTTATATGGAACTAGGTCGAATGCCTTTGAGAAGTCCAGATAACACGCGTATGTAGGCGTTTTACGGGTAGTATAGTATTGGACAGTGTGCTTGAGACACAGGATAGCGCTTTTTGTGGACAATCCAGGCCGGAAACCGAATTGATTGACATGTAAATTAATTACTTTATCCAGGCGTTTATCAAGCAGACTGTCCAACCTTAGCTATCACAGTAGCCAGAGATATGGGCCTGTAGTTAGACAAGTCAGAGGCCTCTCCGGTTTTGTTCTTTATTACTGCTACAACCACCGTGTACATAAGATCATCGGGCAAGTAACTATGACTCAAACATGAGTTGAAAAGCCAACACCCGCGGAAAGTGCTCTCCAGCGTACTTTAGTTGCTCTACGCTGAGCCCGTCGTGACCGGGTCACTTTCCCCTCACCATTTTGTTTATAATGGAATGAACTTCACGGGGTAAGAACCTTATACGTAACTCACCCCTACCACACTCTACATCGGGCACCCGCTGCACGGACGGGAGTGACGATCTAACCTTGAAATGACACCTAATGCATTCGCTATTTGAGTGGAATCATGTACACCACTAACACTCACAGGAAAACTTGGTTTTTGATTTAATTTATATTTATAATATATATTTATATATATTATTTATATTTTTGATTTAATTTATTCTTCCAAAATTTACTGAAGTTTTTACTTGCAATAATGTCCATTTTCATTTGTTCGGAATTATCCTAAGTTTAGCTTTAAAATGTTTCCTAGATTCGTACATACGATCATAAATATACTGGTAGGTTTACCATACAAAAGCCACTTTTTGTAACAAATCCGAGCCTCTTGGTGCCCTGACGTATTTGTTCCAGGCAGGTATTTGTTTATGTTTATTACTATGGAGGAAATGAAACTATTTTTCCGGATTTAAATCGCGTATATTTGTTTTTTCAAACAAACCGACGTTTCGGGCCCTTTACAGGTCCCATGGTCACGGTTGACTGAGGTGGTACAGTCTTCAACCAGTTATGTCTAATATTGATGCAAACCACCCTATTTTTTCACTATAGTTACAATAGTTATTAATTAAATACCTTATTTTTAATTTTACAAAGAAAACATTCCAATTTACGCTATATTAAGTTTTACAAATAATTTTATTAATGAATTTTTATTAGGTTCAATTTATTATTAATTATTAATAGAAATTAGAATAAACTAAAACATATAAATTAGTACTGCAGTCTTATGTCTGTTTGGGATTTTTCATTAGAGGAAATGCTGGGTACAGAGAAACCATCTTCCCTGTTGAAATTAGGATGTTTTTTAATTTCAATGGCCTCTCGCAGCATCCTGGGTAGATAACGGACTTCTTTTGCAAGGACCTGGGGTTTGTCAAATTTCATTGAATGTGTAGGTTTATCGATGACATGCTCGCAGACTGCAGACTTGTTTACGCGACGGTGTTTGACATCAGCTATATGTTCTTTGACGCGGGTAGAAATACTTCGCTTTGTTTGTCCAATATAAGAGAGACCGCACTCACAGTGAAGCTTGTAAACTCCTGCATCCTGTAAGGGGATGTTACATTTCACGGGTTTCAGGAACTGAGAAATCTTCCTCAGAGGCTTGAAATAGGTCTTGATAAATGCGCGCCTGAGGACTCTTCCGGTCTTGTCTGTAACACCTCTCACGTAAGGTAAGATGGCAGGTCTTCGCTCGACTGTTGGTGGTTTCACATGGGGCCTATGGCATTGGCGTGGAATCTTCAACTTATTCGCATGTAGGACTTGCTTTATATGTTGAAGTTCCCCAACAGTCAGGTCTTACAACATTTTTACAATTAAAACTGACAAACTTTGTTGTGTTCATTACTACGGGTTTAGTTTGCTGCTGTCTCCGTTCTTTTTATAACGATCAAAATCGAAAAAACGGCGGTATACTACCTCTCTGGCCAAAAATCATCACTTAAAAACATCTTAAGTTTATGATTAGGCACAAACGCTTTAAATTAATGATAAGCTTTAGTCATTTTCATGGCAACTTTTTGTACGTTTACTGTCATATTAGATTTCTTCAAAATATAATTTTCAATGTCACACAAGGACGTCTCCTTCGACACATTGTAAACAAATAATGGTATCTTCAGTTCCGCCGCTTTGAAATTATTATTCTGTTCTACATCAGCTCTTCCTCGGTTGCTCACAAAACGATTTCTTAATTTCTTTCTTTGTACAAGTATCCACTGTTCATCCGGTGCCTCTGGTTTCCATTTACCTTCCCGCAGGACTTTTGATAATGGTTTTTTAACCAACTTATTTTTGATTTGATTGATTGATTGATTGAACGAAGTGCCAGTGTGTCCCATCTCAGACTTAGTAGGCGAAACAGAACTGGTGACAGGTTCAATGGGTGGAACTTGTTGCGTCATGCAACTCGCATTATTTCCCTGCCCGCTCGCAGCTGATGTATTATTATTTACAAGTGATATCTCCATCATCGTACGGGATTGATTAGCGACATTCCTACCCTCCATTTCCTGTTGCTGTTTTGGTAATTGAGGCGGTGTAGTAGTACGGCAGTGAGAGTTATCAAGGTCGTTACTTGCACACACATGTGGTAGCCCCATCGGGCCACTGTCGTAATCATAGCTTTTTAACAAATAAGCACCCTTAACGGTGTTTACTGTTTACCCCACAGTGGCGGTCATCATAGCGCTGAAAGTTGTTAACTATGGAAACAGTTTTTAAGTTCTCAACATCTAACTTTAGTGCATCCAGTTGCTTTGTAATTGCGTACTCGTCAGTGATACGATCGATGTCGCTGCGCATTTTGACCAAATCCTTGAGAAGGCGAGTTACATCAACGTGATCAAAAAGAACCGGGGGTAGTTTCTGCAAGTCTCGTGCTACGAATATGGGAATTTCTTCAGGATTCGTTTCTTTAGGAGACAAATAATATCATCATAATGTCTAAAAGTTTTGCCCTGTCTCTTACGTGCCTTTTTTCGCTTCCCACTGGATATAGATATAACAAATTTTTTGCACACACAATTTCACTTTCCGAAAAAGCAGTAACGCATATGCGGCTGACGCTAGCACCTCACTTATTACTATGTTACACGTAGAACATTTCACAAAATTAGGCACTGGTTTTTAACGGTAGAAATGACTATCACAGAGCGCTATAAACCGTTCGCGGGCGCGTTCGGTTCGCGACTGTTAAGGGGCACTATAAAACATGTTGATAACTTTTAGCTCAGACATCGCACTGCTGTAACAATAGTGTTGTAACTCAAAATATATGAAATTCAAGATTATACTTTTGCTGAATGTGCAATCTGAATTTCTACTCGTCATTACAACCGTCGGCGTCGTTCGAATATTGTGAGAGACAATCAAAAGATATAATTTTATTTTTAAATATCGAGCCATTACCGCCGACTTAGCGTAAGCGGTAAAAACAAATTTTACACGAGAAGGTTTTTTCAAATATTTCTACATACAAATAAATGTGATATTAAATTAAATTTGAATATTAATAATGAATTTCGTAACCGATTGCGTAACAGCAAATTTTTTTTAAAACAATACATGTTAGCCCTTTTTTGGCGCTTACAATATTTTTGCTATCTTTACCTGAAGAGAGACGACAAACTAACGATGAAATTGTGATGTATTATGTTTTAATATAGACTTTGTTAGTTACACTAAAATATAAAAACAGTTGAGGTGAAAACTTAGCTTTTGCTATAATTTCTATTTCATGTAATTTTGACGGGAAATGTCGACGCGTCCTTGTCCGTTATAGTTTAAAATATAATTTGCAATAAAAAACGCTGTCTAGGCAAAAATATCGCTTACGATAAGTCGGCGGTCATCGATGGATATATTTGGTAAGTAGGAAATTGTTTAGATGTATGTTACAAACTTCAATCTATACATAAATGTTAATCATCTATCACGGGAAGGGAGTAATTTGTTTTTCATCGATTGTGCAAAATATACATTTTTGAGTTGATATGAGTTTTGCATGAATATCATATTAATTTTGTTTTAAAGAGGTACCTACATATTTATATTTATTATAAGTTGAGTAGAGCCAAAAAGTTGTCATTCAAGTGGAGGCAAGAGGAGACCAAAAATAAAAGAGCACCCTAGTATAGGCTCCTGACTCTTATAATTTAGATTATATAAATAATCTAAATATAATAAATAATCCGTCGGAATTTCAGCATGATTAAATCGCGGTCTGTATGATTTGTAAAGACCAGTTTAGAAATGTCCTTTCGAAATTAATTTTGAATGTTGGGCACTACTAAAAATAAATTGTTTCTCTGATTTTTGTAGTACAGTCAGCATCAAAATGTACAGTGAAACTAATACATAAATACCTGAAAGTGTTCATTTCTACGTTTACGTTTAAATGTTTTGAATTGCGAAACTAGTCGATAATACACAGTGCTAAAAAATCGACCATTTGACAAACTTTTAAAACCTATTTGGCAATAACTTTAAAATTAACTATGCAGTTATTTTCATAAGAGTTTGATTTCCTTGGCTGTTTATGATTTTGATACTAACTGTATCAATCGAGGTATCTAATGCTTCAGTATTTTTTATTATGTAATTGGCGTGATTATGTGACATATTGATTATCATCAAGGAAACTGACTGTTTAGACTCTAGTCGGTATCCACTTGGGCATTCGATGCGGTGGCAGTAGTAACCTCCTCGCGTGTTCTGGCACACTAAGCCGGATGGCCCATGAGCGCATGTTGCCGTGCCCATATCACACTCATCGATATCTGTCAAATACAATTGTACGTTAGTCTTATAATAATAATAATAATAATAATAATAATAATGCGCACACACTCATAGCCACGCACTAGGGAAGCCTTGTATCGCAGGTGCCATGGACACACACATAGACAATCGCAAATCACACCCAAACTCACGAGAGAAATATATGTAGGTCATACAAATGTTTCTCCCGGCACGGGAATCGAACCCGGGACCACTTGCGTGGCAGTCCAGCATGGTAACCGTTCGGCCACAGAGGCAGTAACACTGACACATATTAAGAAACAAAGAAAGAATGAAGAAAATACATTTGTTTGCATTACAACAAATGACACCACAGAAGTAAAAAAAAGAAAAAGAAAAATATGAAAAACATAATCAAAAAACATTCACACTTAAGACAAATAATTATAAAACAAAATTACAAAGTAAACGAAAACTAAATTAAACCACAGATTATTTAAATAAATATAAATAAAGACCCTAATACTTTATGTGGTGCCAGCATGGTGCCAGCCGAGTAACAAAGGGTCCTTAACCCCGAACTGATTTTCAGTTATGACCCTAATATTAGGGGTTAAAGTATGAAATTGCCGTTTTATTGCAATAGGTTCTTTGAATTTTCATAGAATCTTCATAGTTTGAGGTTTTCGAATGAAACTTTTTTCAAATGGTTTCTGTGATTTTTTTTTTTAAATTTGAAACATTTGAATATCGACTTTCAATTGTTTTTGTTATTCAATTTTGACAAGAAAGATGGATACTGTGAAAATTCGAGTGATTTTTGAATACGAGTTCCGACGCGGAACTAACGCGGCAGAAACAGCCCGCAATATCAATGCTGCGTTTGGAGAGGGGTCTACTAATGAACGCACCGTGCGATTTTGGTTTAAACGCTTTCGTGATGGAAATTTCGACTTAAAGGACGAGCCACGAGGAAGACCGCCCACACAGGTGAATAACGATGAATTAAGAGAGATAGTGGAAGCCGATCCTAGTCAAACTACCCAGGAATTAGCGGCATGGTTTAACGTTACCTTACCCACAATATTGACTCACTTGCGTCAAATCAATAAAATAAAAAAATACGAAAAATGGGTGCCTCATGATTTGACTGATCTGCAGAAAGAAACGCGTGTTGAAACTTGTGTTGCCTTGTTGAACCGGTACAGAAATGAAGGAATATTGGATCGAATTGTAACATGTGATGAAAAGTGGATTCTTTATTATGATAACCGGAAAAGAAAAATGCAATGGCTGACCCCAGGTCAAATGCCACAACAGTGTCCTAAAGCAAAACTTACCAATAAAAAGGTAATGGTAACTGTTTGGTGGTCTCAGCATGGTGTTATTCGCTATAGTTTTCTCCGATCTGGTCAAGCAATAACGGCAGATGTCTATTGTGCCGAACTCCGAACCATGTTGACAAAACTAGCAGTAAAACAGCCCCGACTCATGAATCGATCTTCACCATTATTGCTCCACGACAACGCGAGACCTCACACAGCACCAGAAAACATTTTGACCCTTCAGGAACTGCAGTTAGAAACCATTCGTCATCCTCCGTATTCACCAGACCTTGCTCCAACGGACTACCATTTTTTTCGTGATTTGGACAATTATCTACGTGACAAGAAGTTTTCTTCCCAGGAGGCAGTACAAAATGCTTTCACACAGTTTGTGCAGTCTAGATCGTCGGAGTTCTATCGCAAAGGCATTAATAACCTTCCCATTAGATGGCAGCAATGTATAGATAATAATGGCAACTATTTTGATTAAATAAATTTGTTAAAAATTTAAAAAATAAACAATTTAGATTTTCAGTACAAATCGGCAATTTCATACTTTAACCCCTATTATTAATACCCAGGTTCCCAAGTATAAATAATCTATGGGCATTTCTCTTAGAAGGGCTAAGTTCTCTAACTTCGGTGGACGAATTTTTTTCTTAATTTCAGGAAAAACATTGAGCGGGAAGGAAAAAGAACTCAAACTTATACAGGGTGTAAATTTGAGACGGGGCAGCAAGACCAGCCACCTTCATCGTTGTAGTTACAGGAAAACGTTCTAGAAGACTACCTATGAATTTTGAAGATATTTTGATTGGCATTCACAGATTTTGGAAAAATGGTACAGTCAGCAAGATAAAAGGCAATTTTTACAAAACTTTTTTTTATGCCATTCGATCCGGTCTCTGTTAAGGATCAATAGTCTCTATGGAACCAACTGAGGTAAGAGTACTTGAAATGTCAGAAATCGCAAAAAACTTTTTACCGTACACTTAGTAGGGACATATTTAGTAATCAGTTATTCTAGGTTAAGGAAACTGAAAAAAGTGAACGACTATTTCAATCACTGCAATATGTTATCAAAGCAGTCAATAAAATCCGTAACAGCTCTTTGGATTATAGATTATTTCATCAGTTTTGTGTTACTAATGACGAAGATTTCAACCGTTTGTTGTTTCATACTGAAGTTCGTTGGCTATCAAGAGGCATTTGTCTGACTCGATTTTACAACCTGTTTGACTCTCTGATAGAGATTCTTCGAAACTAAGGATACATAATTGCGCAACAAGCTCATTACATCGAAGAATGATACAGCTTACATGACAGACCTATATAAATTGTTCAACGACATGAATCTCCAACTGCAAGGCGATGAACTAAATTTAATTAAAACAAAAATATCTTTACTGCTTTCGCAGCCAAACTGCTTCTACACAAAAAGAATATGGGCAGACGTGAGTTTTACAATTTTCCGAATTTATCAGTATCCTGCACTAACGACGACTTGTTTGCCTACTGCCAACATTTGGAAAACTTTTACATTTACTTCACCGAACTATACCACGACATTTTGAACTTGAAAATACCAGACTGGGTGTTGGATCTGTCTCCAAATGTCAACATAGCAATATCACCTCAGCTGGAAGAAGAGCTTATAGAATTGACAACGAACGAGGAAATAAAAATCAAGTTCAAAAATGGCTACCAAGAATTTTGGCTACAAAAACCGATCCCGCAATTGTACCCTGAATTGTGGTCAATCGTTCAACGATTCTTGGTTTTCGTGCTGTGACAACGTTGCTTACTAAAAAGAGAAATCGTTTGCTACCGAATGTGGTGATTTGTGGCTGTTCTTGACTAAATTGGAACCTGATATCAACAAACTTATTAAACAGCATCAGATTCATCCTTCACATTAGTATTTAAATTAGAATCGACTATGCTTGTTTTATTTTGAATAAAAGATACACTGTCTGAATACTATAAAGTTGCGTTTCAATAATCATTGTCATTGGCAGGTGTAGCCCGTAAGAGTTAACTTGAGACCTGAGAGCCGTTGTGTACTACCTACTGCGCTCAGGTCTCAAAGTCAAGTCTCAAGTAAAAGTCTCGTTTAGAATGAACGTTTAATCTCCGCTAATATAGCTCACAATAATTAATTTAATTTGAAGTTATAGTGGTTTTTAAGTAGGTGAAAAAATAGGGGTCGCTAAAAAATAATTTATTCTCAAAGTGGGCAGTAGACAAAATAAGTTTGGGAACCCCTGGTTTACACTTATGATGTTTTATTTATTTATTTAGCTATTCATAATTAGATAATGTAGCATAAATATTTTAGTATATACCAACTTTCACACACTCGTTATGTATGTATTTGTATTGTTTGCGCTCGAGTCCGTGCTTCACTCGTATCGGGCTTGCTGAAAACCAGCGCTACGGATCAGATTTTCTGCCCGTAGCTAATAGCTATTATTATTATTTTTGTCACTGTAATTATGTGTTTCACTCCGCCATTTCTATGCAATTAAAATCATTGTGTTCACTTTTATTGTACTGTATTTTAATTTTAAATTTACCCGTGTTTTATACGCAGTATCGTTGGCACCATACGTTGTAGGAATATCATTGATTCAACTGCAGTGCTAAAGCAGTTGCCAAGTGAGACTTCAATAAGGGACATTGGAGATTAAAGTTAATCTTGTTGATGGTAGCCAACCCTTCAATCCGAAACGAAGCAGTGTTGTTTTCTCAATACCAGAAAGGGCGTGGTACCCAGCGGGATCTGTATACACAGATAATCCAACTACCAGTAAAAAAGGATTTGGATAAAACAATAGTCCATACCAATACAATTCCGTCCGTCTTCGGACAAGCGATACCCTGACGGACAGGAACAGCGATAAGAGCCGAGTTCGTTAATACATTCACCGCCGCACAGACGTCCACGTAGCCTTACTGACTGCCACTCTGCACACTCGTCTACGTCTACGCACGTCCTGTACAAAAATAATCATATTTGTGGCCTCATAAGACCCAGTAAACTACAATGGCAAAAGCGCTAAACGCTCGATGTACAATATAATTACATGTTTCAGGTCCAAGTAAGTATGCCCTCAGTTTTGTATGAAAGACGTATTTTCCTAGATTTTCATTATACTGTGCACTGAGTTTTTATAAGTATAATATTGTCTGGGTTGAATTTTATTGGATGTTGAATCACTTCACTTATTATCTGCATTGGACCTAAGGAGGGTAGGTTAGAGGTAAAGGATATTAAATGCAAATTTTGGAATTCAGATTTTTTGCAAACATTGCTTTAAAATAGGAATAAGCTAAAAATCACACAATGGTAAAAAACGTGTGTTCCATCGTTGTTTGTTTTTTATTTAACATTTGATTCACTTGAAAATCGATTTTAAATGCCAAATTAAGAGCCTTGTTCTTTTTAGGACGATGTCTTGTAAAATACGCTTTGGGACTTTTTACCTGTCTCACCAACAGAAATGTATCATACTGTATAAAAATATAAGCATAAATAAAAGAAGTTGAAATAGTTTAGGATGGAGCAAAGAACTCGACCTGGTAACCTATCACGAAATCGAAAATATTTTTGTCCGAAATAACGTTTGGTCGGATTTTCATTACACCGAAAACCGAAAATTATAACGAAATAGTTGTTCTTTCAGGATATTTTGAATGTTTATCGCAAAGACACGATTAGGTTCGGTCGGGTTGGGAGACCCTTTTTTTTTACGGAGCGGAAATCTTTATAGATACCCCTGAGCCCACGGAGACTCAGGGGTTTTGTGGGGCTACCCCCCTAAAACCCCCCGGGTTTACCTCCCGCCGGTTGAGTCGGCGCCGTGAGGTCGGTGCACATTCACCACGACGGGTTGGGAGACCCTGTCCCTGCATTGCACAGGCCTCCGCCGCCGGTAGATGCCCCAAATGTTCCGGGGTATCTCCGTGCAGGTCGCCCCCCATGATAAAGGAGGAGATGGTGTAGGGGTCCGCCCAAAGGCGGACCGGCGGCGGCGCCACCGGAGTCGCGGTAGCATCTGAAAGGTGCCCCGCGGCTCCGGCGCTAGGTGCGCGCAGGGACATCGTGAGGTTTTTAGTGGGTATGCTCTTGGGGACCGATATAGTCCCCAGGAGAGAGTCCCATATATCCCTGCCGTCTCCCAGCGGCGGGGAATGCATAACGCATTTTCCTCACGGTAATAAAAAAAAAGGTTAGGTTAAGTTAGGTTTAAAACAAAAAACATTTTCCTCTCAAAATTACTTTCGAGTTTATGAAATTTCGACCAAACGTTATTCCTGGAAAATGTCATTTCGGATTACTGATAGGTAACCACTCGACCTATGTGCGATCCGTAATTTCGGTAAATCGCGACTACGACTACGTAAAAAGAGGCTTCAATATAAACCAATTTTATGATATCAAATGACGGGATGAATATGTATGTTGTGCTGGTGATAATCGACACTCAGGTTCGTATTCCAGAACTCTACTCAATGCTCAAATCGGGACTTGAGCAGACTTGAGTATGATTTCAAGCACTGGAAATACGACCCTAATGGCAAGGACTTGAGTATGATTTTCAGTGCTCACTGCAATACTCAAGTCCTCACTTGAGTATTGAGTAGAGTTCTGGAATACGACCCTCAGAGCTTTAAATCTAAGGACCTGAGAGTCACTGCCCGTGTTCTGTCACCCTGCGACATAAAATTGACAAGTCTCGTGTGGGCCTTCAAAACTGAAACGCAGTAGCTCACATTATTACTTGGCGGCAGAAATAGGTATGGTGTTCTACTGCTACTAACTTACTTAGATATTTCTTGGACAACCAAGAAACGTGTTAGGTGATTGTATGTGTATCATTTAAATATTTTGTTTCTTTCTTCCTTTCAATTAATATGCATCGTGATTGTGATTGTTAAATGTGTGTGTGGTGTGTTGTTTCTTACGTCTATTTCTGGGTCCGATCAATGGCCATGGAACAAAAGTTGTTGTTTATGATGTTAGTAATATAATCCTGCGAAGTTAGTAATTTACAATTAACCCTGTATAGATTTTAAGACTTTTGGTTGTTGTCCAAATTATTTATTTAATTAATAAGTATTTGCGTATTTGATATATTTGACAAACAATAACTATGTGTAGATAGCATGGGTGATAAAGTATTTGTCTTATTTGTCCATACGACAGATACAGCAAACACTAAACTAACCAAACAGGTAAATACGCAAGTAAAGACGGATTTACATTTGTCTGACGTGTTGTGTCATGACGCGTCAGAACGGTATCAGTTACATATACACAGCCCAAACCGTCATGTCAGATTGCGACACTTTAATATAAATGTAACTATATTATATGTTTGAAAACGATACCGCTCTGACACGACACGTTAGACAAACATAAAGCCGGCTGTGCGCCTTCAAACTGGGAGATTACGTAGTAGCACTTCCCAGCAGCGACACGTACGAGTCGCGCAATCTATGGACGTTCCTACTACCTAATTACCAATTGTATACAAGAAAGATGCGTGAAAGCAACGAAAATTCTAACTTAAAAACTTAATTACAACCAATTGTACTATTTGAACAATCTATAATCTAGAACTCATATTGACTAACAATTTCAACTAATCTAGCCACGGCGCGGCGCTGCCTGCGAACCGCCCTAGCTGGTGGAGAGACATGACGAGCTCCATTTCGCCATGACACGCACGACATGACACGTCAGACAAATGTGAATCCGGCTTATACCGCCACACTATGGTCACATTCATTATTTTAAGTCCTTATTCGATTCCATGTGTGGACGGTCATATTTGTCAGTGTTTGCATGTTTGTCTGTAGGTACATCAAATATTTTTCCAATTACATCAAGCACAGCGAATACAAGTAGCCATGTGATAAGATTATTCTATTCGATTACTACTATCATATATACGTACCCGTTGTCGCTATGTAAGCGGTAGCCCCTCTGACAGAAGCACCGGTAACTACCCCACGTGTTGGCACATCCCTGTTCACACACATTGGGCCGTTCCGAGCACTCGTCGATGTCAACACACATTTTGTCATTAGACGGAGCGTTGCGGAATCCGCTTTCACACTCACATCGGTACGATCCCGGGATATTTACGCATTTTGAGTTATATGGGCAAGGCTGCAAAATAACAAACAATACCGTCAGACACGGAGGCAGTTTAAGTTTAATCTATAAACATATTTTCGACTTTCCATACATTTTGTCCGGCAACAACGATAGATATGTTTAAAACGTTTAAAAAAAAGATAGATATAAATCTACCACTCTAGATTTTCTTGATAAAACAGTAACGTGTGTCGTATTCTTTTAAATTATAAATAGAGGTCGGTATTAATTTGAGAAAAAAACAACTGTTATAATGTAACAAAATGCAATAATCACCAACCCATTTATACGTCCCACTGCTTTTTTTTAAACTAGCAAGTGACAGGACGAACAAGTCGTGCGCCTGGTAGTAACCGACACGCCTATCCATAACAGTTGCAGTGCCACTAAGAGCTTTAAATCGCAAAGTAGCAAGAACTGAGGGGCACTGCCACTGCGCCTGTCACCCTGAGATATAAGTTGATAAATCCTTGGACCTGTAATTTTCAAAACCGGAATGCAATAACGCTCAACTGCTTGACGGCAGTAATAAGTAAATTGGCAGTACTTCTCTGGAATTCTCTTTCACAAAGAGCTCTACTGCTACTAAGATAGAATTATAAAAATGATTACCCTGCCGTACGAGCATTCGTTGACATCTTCACAGTCGTTCTGGCCCACTAACTGATGGCCGGGTGGGCACTGGCACGAATACCCTCCATAGAAGTTCTCGCACCGCTGTTGGGGTCCACATTCCGTAACGTTCTTGGCGCACTCGTCGATATCTATAAATAAATAAAATAAAATAAAAATCTTTTATTTTCAGACACCATAGGTCCATAGTTTGTTAGTAAGCAACCTTATACTATATTAGTAATAAATGATTGTACGGTGAATTTATTTACACATTAAAATTTTAAAATCGAAATGTCAAAATATTCAAAATACATAATATAAAAGTCACTGAAATAATAATGATAATTTAGTCAGTTAGGCAGAAATAGGTATGGTGGCAGCACTTCCCTGGACGAACTCATTCATCAGAAGCTCTACTGCTATTATACTGTTTGTGTTACAAATGTTTTTTTCTCTTTTAACATTCTTCAAATCGTCAAAAGAACATTGGTGGCATCTAACTTATTAACTATTCTTTAGAATAAGGAACAATCCTCAGCTAATATTACTATTTCATATCTTATAGTCTACGCATACGGGGTATTTTATATGGCGCCTCAAACGCGCGTCATCTGCGCGTATACATGTCGCAGACGCGCGGTGGTGAATCGATTCAAACGCGCAAAAATCGCGTTGCAAGCAAGAAGCTTATACACTCGATTGGATTTTACACTTAAAATTTCATGCAGTTGCTTTTTTTGAAAAAAGTAAGTCAAATAAACAAATAAAATTAAAATGAAAACTATATTTTAAAAATGCTCGATACATACGGGCGATTACAGCGCGTCTGCGGCGCGTATACGCGCAGATGACGCGCGTTTACGGCGCTTATACGCACGTCGTTGGCGTAATTACATCAATGTTAAATGTTTTATTGAATGTCAGGATGTTTCACCACCATGATATTTTTTTTAAATAAATAAATAAATAAATAACGCACACACTCAACATAGCCCCGCACTAGGGAAACCCTGTGTCGCGAGTGCCATGGATCACACACATAGACAACCACAAATTACACCCAAACTCACGAGAGAAATAATTGTAGGCCATACAACTATTTCTCCCGGCCCGGGAATCGAACTTGGGACCTCTGCGTGGCAGTCCGGCATGGTATCTGGTCGGCTACGGAGGCAGTTAAATTAAATTAAATTATTTTTTGTGTGTTCGTTCCGTGGCTTAGTTGGCATCACAGTTGGCATAGCATCTAGCTCAGTTTGCTAGACGTCGGTGCGAATCAGGCCGGGTCGAAGGATTTTTTCTAAGTGTTCGATCTTTTTATTAATAATTACATCAATGTTCTTAAGTAGGTATTAAGAGGCTAGGCAAGAAGAAGATACAGGCGTGTGTGTGCGTGTGCGCGGGCGTGTGCGTGTGCGTGTGCGTGTGCGTGTGCGTGTGTGTGTGTGCGCGCGCGTGTCAATCACTTACCGTAACACATTTGCTCGGCGGTCAACTTGTACCCCCACGGGCAATTCTTGACAATGGCTCCAGAGCCGGGAAGACGAGTATTCGAAGGTCTCAGATAGCGAGGGCCTCGCTGCCCGATTTGGGATCCTACTGTGATTATCGATGGCTCAGCGCGCGTGGGGTCTCGCGGTGTAGTTGCTGGAAAAAATAAGATGCTCGCATAGATTGTAACGTAAAGTGATGGGACGAACAAGTCGTGCACCTGGTGGTAAGCGACACGCCAATCCATAACAGTTGCAGTGCCGCTTAGAGCTTTTAATCACCCGTCACTCTGAGACATAAGTTGACAAATCCCATGTGCCTGCAATATCACCAGCATCCTCACCCCTCAAAACCGCAACGTAGTAATGCTCACATTAATACTTGGCGGCAGAAAGTGTGCTGGCAGTACTTCCCTAGACGAACTCTTTCACTAGGGGCTCTACTGCTACTAAAAGTCTATGAACAACAGTGTCTTAGGGCGCATCTTTGGAATAAGTACACACATACACACAGCACATTTTGCATGCATATTTTTTATTAATATCTTCTCTGTCCTCCTTGTTATAACTAACAGATTTATTGATTTATTTATTTATGGAATGAGTACAGAATACACATTGTGAAGATGCTTAAAGTTAACATGCATTACAAATTACAATTGGAGTAAATTTGTGTTCCTATGACAACCACGCACAGCATATTTGCGTTGCGGTAACTTTTCACTTTTTTTTCCATTTATAAATGTCAATTACGCATTTGCTTAACAATAAAACTGAAAATGAAATGACTTAAATCGCGTATATTTGTTTTTTCAAACAAACCGACGTTTCGGGCCCTTTACAGGTCCCATGGTCACGGTTGACTGAGGTGGTACAGTCTTCAACCAGTTATGTCTAATATTGATGCAAACCACTCTATTTTTTCACTATACTTACAATAGTTATTAATTAAATATCATGTTTTTAATTTTACAAAAAAAACATTCAAACTACAAATTATAAATAAATAAATAAATAAATAAATTCCAATTTACGCTACATTCAGTTTTACAAATTATTTCTTACAAGTCTGCAGTCTGCGAGCATGTCATGGATAAACCTACACATTCAATGAAGTTTGACAAATCCTTGCAAAAGAAGTCCGTTATCTACCCAGGATACTGCGTGAGGCCATTGAAATTAAAAAACATCCTAATTTCAACAGGGAAGATAGTTTCTCCGTACCACCAGTTTGGGATCCAGTATTTCCTCTAATGAAAAATCCTAAACAAACATATACCTAACATATGACTGCAGTACTAATTAATATGGTTTAGTTTCTTTAAGAACTCGAAATAAAACTCAAACTAAATAAGATATTAAAAAAAACGAATTAGAGGCGGTTGTAGATCTTGTTTCGCTGATCCCAGGAATGATAATAACCGAATTTCGTTGGTTTTGGTACTAATGAGTTGCTTACTATTCCTATTTAATTAAAATTACAAAAGACTTATGCCTTAACATAATATTTGTAGACATTTGCATCACCAACTAACATATTATAGTAATTTTACGTTCTATTTCTCTTTTTATTCTTAAGTTAATGAACTAGCCACCAAGCACCCGAGTTATTAGAAATTGCGTGCAAATGAAAGAACCCTTGGGTGTGTACAGTTATGGCGAATACTTATATATTAATAGATCGTGCACCGCTTGCGCGCCACATACGAGAGTCATGCCAAAAGAAATTAGATTTTCAAAAAATATAGAAATTATTCTTTATTACGGGTATCGGTTTTTTCAAAATGTTCATCATGACCACGTAAACACTTTTCCATTCATCTAAACCACTTGGAAAATATCGATGACCACTCTTCTTTAGACATCTCAGAAATCTCCAAGTTGTAAGCACCCGAGGCATATTCTTTGCTTTCAAACCACTTGCCTTTTAATTGTTCTTTCATTTTTGGAAAGAGGTAAAAAACACAAGCTGCTAGGTCAGGGGATATGGTGGGTGAAGCAGGATAGACACATTTTTTGAATGCAAATAGTCTAGTGTTCTAGCAGAAGTGTGGAGCGGAGTTGTCGTGATGCCAGAAGAGGTGCCGGATCCCTGACTGCGGTCGCTTGTCACACCAAGCTGACAACACTTTTGGGGCACAAACTGTTACATACCATTCAGAGTTAACTGTCTTTTCATCCTCTAGCACTACAGTAGCAATGTCATGCAGAAAAATGAGGCGACCATTTGTTTGTTTGTGCTTCCTGTATCACGACATTTCATTGGCGTCGGCTCATCTTCAAAGCACCATACCGAGGTCTGTCGCTTTGTTTCAGGATCATAGTAACATAACCATGTTTCGTCACCTCTCAGTACGTCATAAATTTTTTTTCTCGCCAGCGTTGAATTTGTCTATCATAAATTTGCACCAATCCACGCGACGATCTTTCTGCTCATCGTTAAGTTTGTGCGGAACCCATTTCGAAGAAAGCTTAGGGAGAGACAGTTGTTCGTGAATAATAGTTTGCAATACTGCTGATCCAATGCCCAGTTCTCGCTCAAGCTCTACATATGTAGGTCGTCGGTTTTTACATGGTTTTTACGAATTACTTTTTCGACAGCTTGAAAGTTTTCTTGAATAACCGCGGTTGGCGGCCGACCTGACTTCGCCTCGTCTTCAAAGCTTCCCGGTCCTCTTTTAAATTCAGCAAACCAATTGAAAACTGTAGCTAATGAACAAGCAGTATCACCAAAAGTTGTGGCTAAAAGTTCAAAACATTCTTGCGGATTTAAACCTTTTTTGTAGTCATAATAAATCATAACACGAAAATCACGTCGAGAGAGCTCCATTGTTTCGAACAAAATTCCCGCCAGATTGTCTCCGAAAAATAAATAAAAAAGAACACGATTTAAGACTTGTTCCATTTTCAAATTTATTAGCAAATAACCTGCCTTTACGACGGTGTATAACTGCCAGTATCAAACAAGTGATTAAGCTGGCATTATCGCTAAGCGATAAAACATCGATAAAAGCTCTGATTAAATAAAAGATAAAAAAAAAAACGTGACTAAAGAGTATCTAAGTTCTTTTGGCATAACCCTCGTATAGGTAGGTATTTAACATGTATTTAACTGTACGCATGCAGCACGCGTGCAGCGCGCGCGTCACGCACGTACAGCGTGTTCGCGACGCAATCACCAGATCTGTACGCACCCTTTGGATAACATTTGTACTAACTCCAAGTTGTTATATGTATAGCATTGACATCACAAGCTAAGAGAAGGGTAATGTTAGTTCTTACAGAACGTAGGGTACGCGGGTGAGTACGTGCCGCGACATCGCAAGCCACATACGCAATGAAAACCTCCTGCTGAGTTTACGCATTCTTCGCTAGACGAACAGGTGGATCTGTTCGTGGTGCATTCATCGATATCTGTAGCATATTTAAGCGGTAAATACTTCCAGACTGTTACTTACTTTTATTATTCTTATGAATTAGGGTGGGTTGTGTCGCGTTTTTTGAGTCGCTAAATTTAAGCTGCTTTCGGTTTCATATAAAAGTCCGATTTGTGTACACACAAAATGAGTTGTCTACCGGTTCACTGTCGCAATTACGACCGAACTTCGGTCGTACTGTCAGACGTGCTTGTGTGGGTGGAAAGAGGGGTAAGGGAAACATTTATTATCAAGTGGTAGTATTTTACAAATTCATCTGGATATTCACACAAACTTTTATAAGTATCAGAAACGGCCCATACCTTAATCTTTCCACATTGAGTGAGTGTACCCAGCTTCTTTGTCTTTTTCTAACACCATCTAATGATCCATCACATTATTAAGACACACACCCATCATATAACATAAAACACGTTCAATACGTTCAATCAAAGCAACTGAATAAAATACGTTCGTCTGGCGCTCCAACCGAATTTCAGTCGAACGTAAACTACGAGACTCAAAAACGCGACTCACAACTCAAAAAATTACGCTCGCCTGGCCCTTACTTACCAACACACCTTCCTTGTTTTGAGTCGAATTTGTAACCCATCGCGCAGTCGTTCGGCGAGAGTGGTGGGAACTTGTTACTAGGTCTTTCGAGGTTGTTTCTGGGCGCGTACGGTGACCAGGCTGTTGAAACTATAGGAGCGACTGGAAATCACAAATTGAAAGATTGAAGGTTGCTAACAGATGGACTGCATGTGCGCAGTCATTGCGCACAGTCGTGACTATATCACGAGTCCGAGAATCAAAAGCAGCAATTAGTGTTCTTAAGAGAATATGTGATTTCTTTTTGTCTGAAACGATTTTTTTCAGTTAGCATTATTTAAGCATTTTCAGATTTATACTGTAAATAAGATTTTTTAAACGATTTCGATATTTTTTTATAATACAGTAAAAAGTTACAAGTAACATTTCGTGCATCCATAAAGTTGATATCTTTTGATATCACGCACCAGCAGTTATCGCTGTATGCAGTCTGTTTCGACTGTAAGCAGTTGTATAAATCTACTTCGCGCATGTTGTCCGTCTGGTAGCTGCCTAATTAGACGTAACGCGAAGTAAGCCCGGTCTCATCATTCTCATCATTTAAAAACTAATTGGTTAGCCGACGCTACTATATCTTTGTGCACTTGCCAAGTATAAGTCGAGATTATGTTCTGCCTGTCTATAAAGTTTTCACGTACTATACCGTAATATCACAGTGGTAACATTTCACACATTTAATATTACTGGCTGTCAGGTAATCAAGAACTTAATCCACAAAATGTCAAGGTCAACTTACCGGTAGTAGTCCTTCTAACACTCGTGGTAACAGTCTGTTGGATCTTAATGCATCCAGCACCGGTCACGTTCCTCTTATATCCTGGCTTGCATTCGCAGATATAGCCTTCTTGACGATTTATGCATACCTCCAACTCACCGCAGATGTGACGACCGGTTTTACACTCGTCTATGTCTGCAATGTCAAAAAATGTTTATGGAAAAAATATTTTCATGTATTTTAGAACTGGTAAAAAAGTCGTCCTAGTCTATAACTTTGAGCATATTTACCGCTTCTAAAGCAGAGACCGTGTGTTCGAATTCGGGCTCGCAGCTCTAAGTTTCTCGGAATTTATGTGTGAAATTTAATTTTAAACCATGATCTTTTCGGTGAAGCAAAGCATTGTTGTGATGAATCCTGCACGTAGAAGAAGGTTTACAACCCTAGGAATACGTCTAAAGTCCCCAACCCGCATTGAGCTAGCGTGGCGGACTATGGCCTAAACTCTAGCCTGTGAGTCTCCCTTCCGAGTAGAGGGACGTGTAAATGAGTTGATTATGATGATTTTAAAAGTACATGATCAGATAGATGAATCTCTCAAATAAAAACTCCCAACCCTTACAGTGTAATCGAACAATACAAAGGATTGGAAACTGCCATGTTGTTGCCAGCGGCACATTACATTTTAAATTATAACATAAAATCAAGAAACAACGCAACTGCGACGTAAACAGAGAATTGTTGGACTCCTGCACTAGGCAAGGCCTGTTTCGCAGATAATCAATATATCCTTGTTACTGATAAAAGAATAGCGCAATAGGAAAAAACAACACCAAAGAGAAGCTTTACAATTATTGAATAATTTTACATATTATGAATTACATGTATATAACAAACTATGTAGGTAGAATGACAAATCATACATATACAATAATTTGACGAAAATGACGCAAAATATATCCTCATGAAATAACATTGTTATTAGCAGCGCTTCAAGCATATCCATAGAAAAACTGGAAGGAGTTTCTAATTATGGTACGTGGAAATTTCAAATGAAATTATTATTGATAGACCATGGGCTACGGAATTTAGCAATTGGTTCCGAAGAAGCGACTGCTGATTCTTTTAAAATCAGAAAACATACGCAAAAATTTGTTTGAATATATAACCCATTTGCTACCCACATTTGTGAGAATTGCAAAGACTGCTGCAGATGCGAAGAGAAACTTGAAGGCCGCATATGAAACTTCTGGCATAAGTCGTAGACTTCACTTAAAGAGAAAACTATTGCAAATTAAATAGGTACATTGTTTTCCTCATATCGACATCTTGTGTAGTTTTTTACATTTGTCGAGATTTTATGAGATAGAAGACTTTGTATTTTTAATTCAGAAGCTGGCATCATAAAGGCGATAGTTGTTAGCATATACTAAATCTATGGTTAGCATAATGTACTGCAGACTTTAAATTTTTAAAGGAAAATACACATTGACTGTACATAAGACTCATTTTTTTACGAAGAGTTGTTGAGAAAAATATTCCTTTATAGACGTTAGTGTAATTACATTCGCTCTTACCTACACATTCTCCCTTCTCATTTTTTTCGTATCCATTAATGCAATGTAACAAGTCATTTAGACCAACATTATCGTCTTGTGTACTATTAGGCTTCTCATGTTTACTTTCTGGTTGACGGCCAGGTGTTTCCGGTTTGCTGTTAGGTCTTCCTGGTTTATAGATCGGCCTATTAGGTTTACTATCCGGTCTTTCCGATCTACTACCAGGTGTCACTGGTCTATATTCAGGTATATGAGGCCTGATGTAAGGTCCATCTGGTCTATTAAAACGGTTATCTGGGCTATTGAACCTGTTGTCTGGTCTATTTGGTCTACTATCAGGTCTGGTAGTCGGTTTAAAGTCTTCTTGTCTATTTTCAGGCCGATTCTCAGGTTTACGGTCGATTCCAATAACATTAGTCCATGTATCTTTCGGTATTTCTGCTGTATTTATAGCGACGGAACCTTCCGGATCTTTTTCTTTTTCAACAACAAAAGGGTCTTTTGGTTTGTTGGCTGCGTCTACTTCTATAGGTACCACTCCGGGACGAATTTCAGGAATAACAGGTTCTGGTTTTCTAGTACTGCTTGTTGTTGTGGGTTTATTAGTATATAGCCTTCTGGTGGTCGACTTGGGAACAAAGCGCCGTGTTGTTGCTCTAGGAGGGTGGAGGGTTGTTGGTCTGAGAGTCGCCGAGGTGATTTCTGGTTTCGTTTCATCCATGGATGATGAGTTGTCTTCACTGAAATAGCATAATTCTTTAGATACATAATAATATAAAATATTTGAAGAATAAATCAACCTGTGAATTTAGCATTCACGATAGAACACTGCGGACGATACATATTGTTGGAATTTGGTAGAATTAGGTTCTCAAACTGAATCCTTCAGAATGAATGAATAAGTAAGCAAATTACACTTGGAATCATCAAGGCAGTTAAACTCTATTATACTCATTGGTCGAGGAACTCTAGACTAGAGGTCGCTCCTTATATATTTTTTTAAATTAGATGGAATTGCTCTTCACCACTACCTAGCTCTGGAGCAAAGGTAGGATCTACGATGGAACGAGCTTGCCCGGAAGATGCCTATTCAGTCGCACTTTAAAGATACCCGGGTTGTATGAATTCGGAAATACATACGCAGGCAGGGAATTCCATTCCTGGGCTGTGCGCATAATAAAAGATGATGAAAAGCGCTCAGTACGCCTGAAGGGAATATCGACCAAGTAAGGATGATATCCCGCCGTACGTCTGGATGTCCGATGGTAAAAGGGGGCGGTATATAAACATTTGTGAACATTTCACATTTACAACATTTATTTATTTATTAATATTTAAAATATCATAGATCGATGCAACCTGTAAAGGCTAAACGAATAAACTGTCATAGATTTTTGGCATCCAAGTACGCAAATGCTGTATGATAATAAACCTTTAGCGTAAAGTTTTGTTTCACTATAGCTTTAACCTTGTAAATGGTAAATTTTGAATACCTATCAACCGGAATCTTATTAACTTGTTATAGAACCGTATTTGTGATTTTGAGAAGACGACTATCAAGTACAGCTAGTAATAATGTAAATTTCACACAATTTTTTTCGTCATTGAGGAGCAGGTTATTAACTGCAAACCAGTAGTTGATTTGAAAGAAATAGCATTTTTCACATCGTCATCAGAACATTGGTGCGTATTAACTCCGACATCATAAGGCCGACCTGTCTTGCGATACAATGTAAACTTAGGGTCGTATTCCAGAACTCTACTCAACGCTCAAGTCAGGACTTGAGTATGATTTAAAGCACTGGAAATACGACCCTAATAGCATGGACTTGAGTATGATTTCTAGTGCTTTAAATCATACTCAAATACCTAATTTGAGCATTGAGTAGAGTTCTAGAATACGACCCTCAGACTCTTAAAACTTAATGTTCTTAGGTTAGGTCGACGAAAGAGAAGTAATGTCACTGTTGCTACCTTTTAAATCGAAATCCCGTTTTGACATTCATTTTTTTTATTATACCAAGTGACGGGACGAACAAGTCATGCGCCCGGTGTTAATCGACACGCCTGTCCATAGCAGTTGATGTACCACTCAGGTATTTAAATTACATCCACCATGATAAAAAAAATGCGCGCCAGAACCATTGACTTACAAATAAATGGACGACGGGTCTAATACAAAAACCACGAAAAAAATGTCCCAAGTCAACCTATTCGAAATTTAAATTGTTATGTCATCGCAGTATCGCGCTGTCCGTAGAACAAATGAAGACTAAAGCGGAGTGTCGCGCTCTGTATACGATTTTAGCGCCTTACAAGTGCGGACACTTTTTAGCGCGGACCCGACGTCCATATAATTGTAAGTCAATGGCCAGAACTAACTCTGATCTTAACTTATAATAAAAAATTTTTATTAATAAATCAGTCTTTTAAAAACTTATTGTTAGATTTTCCTCTTCTACCAATTAATATCATAAATGACCAGACCAGTAAACAAAATACTGTTTAATATTTTACAGTCCTAGGTGGTAAAGTTGCAAACCTATACGTTTTACCATTTCATCACTATGCGTTCCACCTGTTATTTAATTACTCTAAAAGCCCTAATGACTACAAAAGCAGGATAGGCACTTACTCAGGATAAAAGTGCACGTAGTCATTTGACGGCACCGGAATCGGCTTTTTGGTGGTGGTGGTGGTAGTGGTGGTAAGGACTGTGTGGGGAGGTTTCTTCGAGTTGCAGATGTATGAGCCGAGGGTGTTTATGCAGTACTGGTTAGGGGAACAGTCGTCAAGTTTCAGAGCGCACTCGTCTATATCTGTAAACGACCGAGAAGAAGTTATTTGGATCAAGGTGTATGCTTTCATTCTCTGTCCGAAACAATTACTGTGAAATAAGTAACACTCAACCAAATTAAAACACAATATCAAGCTTAGAGCTTCATTCGTATCATGTGACTTTTTTACGGCGTATGTTATACGCACTGACTGGTAACGCCAGGTATAGTTTGTCTGAGCTCGCACCTCCTTACCTTTCCCGTCCTAATCCGTGCTACGCCATAGCCACATAAATCGCCAGTGAAATTAAAAAATAAGTGTGTGACGTTACTATTCGAACTGAAAAATTCGCATCCGCGACATCGCATTATTTTATTAAATTAAATATCCCGCGCTTCTCCGCCCGGCATTGAGCCGCGTACGCAATATATTACGTGGTGGCGTTATTGGTGATCGGCCGCACGTGAAGTGTGTGAAAGAAGACGTGCTCTACGACGTTTCGGACATAAAGGTTGGTGGTAGCACGGCTTCCATTCCTTTTACTTGCGAGCTCATCTATCCCGCAGCTCCCCACGAGTTATATCGAAGTTTCTTTTAATTTTTTTTTAATTATAGCGTCACCACTGACGACGTGCGTTTACGCGCCGTAAACACACGTCATATGCGTCTATACGCGCCACAGTATCACGCAGCGAATGTATCACGCATTTTGATAAGAGATAGTTTTAATTTAAATTTTGTTTGTTAATTTCAGTTAATATTTGAAATGCAGCAACTACATGAAATTCTAAATGTAAACTCCAGTGGAGTATATAAGCTTCTAGCTTGCCACGCGATGTTTGCGCGAGTTTAAATCGATTCACTACAGCGCGTCTGCAGCGCGAATACGCGCAGATGACGCGCGTTTACGGCGCCATAAACGCGCGGTCGTGACACGTGTCGGCGCGTGTCGGCGCCTATAAAATACGCCACTTTTACCGCGCCGCCGTCTCTCGCAGTCGTCCAGTTTATGACCTTAAGTGGGTACTCCACTAACAAGAACAGCTCTTAAATAAAAATAAAACCGTGGTAAAAAAAAACCTGTATAATTAGTGGTAATCACTTAAAACCCATACCATTAGGCTCAACTCACACTCACGCAGAGTCGAAGCGTCGTGTCGCGTCCTGTTTGTCGCAACGACGCCTGGCGACGCGCGACGACACTCGCATTAGTGCGCCCGGATCACAGTGTGGTCGGCGTCTGACGCCTCACCGCGCTCAAGTAACGCGCGTCGACGCACGTCTCCATATTTGCATAGCACAAATTTGAACCTTAATGATGGGAAAATAGAGATGAAAATGCTATAGGCGAAAAACATGACGCGTCGCGACGCTTCGACTCTACGCCATTGTGAGTTGAACCTAAGCGGATTCTATGGGTCGACATATTATAACATATGAACAACGTATTTTATTAGACAACATCACATACTGCTTTGACGCCAAAGTAAGTAACTAAAGCACTTGTGTTGTGGAAATCGGTAACAACGACGGTACCACAAACAGTTCAGAACCGAGACAATACAGAAAACTTAGTTTCTACATTGACCCGGCCGAGATGGCGACACCATGAAAACCGGTGTGCAAGCCACTCGACCACGGATGTCGTCACGAACTATGACTTTAACCCACTCCACTAGCCGGACAGTGTAGGTGTACATTTACAACAGTATACACGCAAGTCAGTACAAAATTACTGAAGTGGTTTACCGAAATGTGCGACTTCAACTGGCTAACGTATCAGGAATGTGTGTGTGATTATGTGAGTTCGACATAAAAGTAAATCAAGTCAAGTTTCTAGCCAGGATTAAATTAAGGCAAACAAGAATTACTTCTCATCGCCTTTAGGCAGATTACGACATACTTAACCTAACGTGTTACTAAACAAATATTTGCATTAAAATTTTGTTCTAAGTCCAATATAGTGTAGAGATAGTAAGCCTTAGAATTTATAACCCTACACTTAGGGATGTTTAATAATTGATACAATACCTTTTAGTTTAATACATAGTAAAAATACATACACGATACACACGCGTGATTGCATCGATGCAATCGCCTATAATTACCAAGTGTACTGATACAATCGCGCCTTTGTATCGATGCAGTCGCGCGCTTGCATCGATACAATCGCGCCTTTGTATCGATGCAGTCGCGCGCTTGCATCGCTGCTTAAAATCGCGCGCGTATGTAAAGGTAGACGATTAACGACTGCATCGCTGCTAAAGTCGCCGTGTGTAACCGCCCTCAGACCTATCAATAAATGTATCTACGTATGTAAAAATATATATAAATAAATAAGCATAAAAAGTTATCGACTAATTTTCATTCGTAGAATCTTTAACCTCTTTTCTAAAAAGTTATCATTTGCAGATAGGTCCATGAAGCAAAATACCCTATTTACAATATTGACAGTACATTCCCTCCGTATCCCATAACCGTGTGACGCCCTTTATACCTCAGCCCAGATAATGTTAGACACTACGATGTTTATTGAAGAGTTTAAAAAGTTGTACTGACCAACGCAAGTCTCGGATGTATCAAGTTCGAATCCGCTTTTGCAGTAACACTCATGCCCGCCGTTCGTGTTGAAGCAGTCTTGAAACCTATCGCATAGGTGACTGCCTTCAACGCACTCGTCAATGTCTGAAAAAGATATTAGACATTAGTTCTATCTTACGATCTGAAGGGACTCTAATAACTTTGTCGGAGGTTACTGCTATCTTCTTTCGAATGTAGACTTATTTACACTTATTGACATTATACTGCCCTCTCTCAGTTGTAGTACCTAATAATTTTTAATTAATTTGTGTCGATTTTTGATGATTAAAATTATTAATAAAATCAAATACAAAGATTCGACAACAAACACATCGAGAAATTCGTGGCATGGATTTGCTTAGAGATGTCAAATCAAGCCGAATCCGGCCGGATCGAAGGAATTTGTTCTTAGTGTTCGATCTTTCTATTAAGAATTGGGCATTTCTCCTAGAAGGGCTAAATTCTCTGACTTCAGTAGTCAAATTTTTTTTCTTAATATGAGGAAAAACATTGAGCGGGAAGGAAAACTAACTTAAACTTACATAAGATTCTGATATTTGGGCAACTAGATTGTTAACATTTAATGACATATTTGACCCACCTAAATCAGGATAATTTAACAAAAGCATTATTTTTGTATAAAATATTATGAAAAAGGCAATAAAACCATTCAAATATCTGCAGAAACATTTACTAATATGACTAACTATTTATTAAATGTAGTGTAAAAAAACTGAAATGTATTTATAAATCGACCAGGACGACGCAAAGAAATTTCACCTTATGACTATTAATTAAAATTAGTTTTCAGTTTGGCTGGTCAGTTTTTTCGCGATTTATATATATATATATAAACATACTTTATATATACATACTTTTTATACATGAAGTAATTCATGCAACTTCAAAATCTTTCCTTCCGCTTTTTTATCGCATACCTCTGTCTATCTATATCTTTAAACCTTTCATATGTAATTGGATCGCTATTTATCTTTGCAAATTTTTTTCTATTTTGATTTTCCTTGTACATTTTCGGCGGGAAGCATGTAGTAATAAAATTGTGAAAATCAATAATATTAACTAAACATGTATATGAAAAACGTATACAATTCTATCTTTTCAAAGAAAATATGGCTTCGATGGCAGTTTTTTCCGACTTCGGTGGAAGCTTTCCTAACTTCAGTCACGGGATTCAGAATATACAATATAATATTCAGAATATTACAATATATATTTGATATTACTCGTAAACGACAATAATTGTAGAACCAATTAATTGTTATTATATTTTAGTCGTTACAACATATTATAAACAATGTTACATACAACCATAAAATTAGTTTTTGAAATATCGGATACACCGAATTTAAAAATCAACCTGGACCAAACCCATCGAATTACCTATTTACACGCAAAAACTCCTAAAATCGGCAACAAATCATCCACCTTTTCTCTTCAGTTACAGGGGCGTGATGGAAGAATAATTCGAACAAAGTCAAAGTCAAAGATTATTTATTCCATAGGTAAAATAAATTTACACTTGAAAACGTTACATTTAAGCTACTGCTCGTTCACTACGCTGACCTCCCTGAGAAGAGCGAGCAAGAAACTCTAGGGATTGCTCTTTTCAAATAAACTTAAATGCTATGGAATACACTTTGAATCAAATTTGTGTGGATTCTGGAGCCATGTCGTCTTTCCATACATCTTTATCTAACACGTAGTCTTCAATTTTGTAATATGATTTTTCGATCAAAGTATTTTTTTTTTCATTTCGAACGAATTGCGAAGCTTCTTAAATGCTTCACTTGTGATATGTAGCGTGATTAGTAACAACCACCGAATTCCCGCGTAAGCCTGGGACACGCAGCAATCTTGGCATTGTGAGAAAAGTATTGTCTGGTTTATTGTGAAATTTAGATTAAAAGTACTGTCATTTAATTTCTCATACGTGAACTAAAGTCTAATATTGATATACGGTGTGAATTTTGAGAAAAATGGCACTTTGTGTTGAATACTGCATTCGGAACAAGCAACCGTTGTCAGGTTTTAGGCATTTCGGATTTGGAGAAATGCCAGTTTATTTTAGAAAAATTTATTATGTTTTGTAAAATGTCGTGGAACTAAAGTTGTTCTTTGCGATGTTAGTAATATAGTCCTAAGAGGTTGTTAGTATTTTAAAAATAACCCTCTATATAAATATCACAAACTACTGCAATATTCCCACATTTATATCAAAAAATATAATAAAACGATAAATACATATATATAGTTCAAGTCACAACGCAAATACTTAATATTAATTTTAATATGGTTAATGAATGACCACCAACAGCGCCAAGACCCATAAACAATATGGAACCCTAGATGCACCATAACACCATACGAAGACAACATCTGATGCTAACCAGAACTGGATAATGACAACGTTATCTTGGGACACAATAAATAACCATAAGAGAATTGTTTTTGCATCAGAACAGAGCACATTCCAGGACTACATCTTTATCTTAATGGCATCCTGACGACAGACGAGATTCCAGAACATTCTCGAGGATCTATGTAACGACGCGACCCTACCATTGCCGGCTGGTATAAAGAATCACACACCGGCGGCAACGTGGCACCCCTCCTATTCTCCCTGTACACTAGCGATATCCCGAAGTATCAGTCAGTAAATCCTGCCCTCTTTGCCGACGACACTGCGCTCTATTATTCGGCGCGCAGCTCTAAATTAGTTTCCGCGGCTCTCCAATCTGCCACCACACGCCTAGGCGAGTGATTTCGCAGATGGAGAATCGAAGTCAATCCCGACAAAAGCGCGGCGGTATTCTTCACACGAAGTAACCTATCCAGTCGTAGGGTACAAAACCTCACCCCGATCTCGCTCTTTGGGCGCCTAATCCCTTGGGTGAACACGGTCAAATACTTAGGAGTTACGCTCGATGGGAAGCTGTCATTCAAAGCACACGTGAAAACCATCCGCGATCGCGCCCACTTTGTTATGAGCCGGCTCCACCCCCTTCTCGACAAGCTTAGCAAACTCTCCCTTCGTAATAAGGTGAGTTTGTACACGACCTGCCCAATCATGACGTACGCCAGCGTCGCATTCGCTCAGGCAAATCCCGCGCTTGTACACCGCCTGCAGGCTCTCCAAAATAGATTCATGCGCAACGCGACGGGTACCCCGTGGTACCTGCGGAACGCTTACCTCCACATAGATTTACGGCTCCCCACTATAGCCCAATTCATGAAACAGGCATCGAGGAAATACTTCGACTCTGCTCCTCACCACTTCCAACACACAATTATGGCTCGGAATAGTTTTCAGCGATTAGGCCCCAATTGCTCTTGGATAGTCACTCTTTTAGACAAAATATTTAGTAAAAATTACTATACCTTCACAACCACCTCCCAATTTCTTTCTTGTACCTTCTCGACATTCATTCCCCTCGATATTTGGATTTGCTTTACTGAAAATATACCGGTATGGTAAGTTAATTTACAACCCGACTGAATAATATAAAGTAAAACAAAATTTGTAAAATTACATAAATTACATAACCGGTTAGCGGAAAGTAGGTGAAATTCAGTAAACAAGATTCATGCCCTAATTTGCCACCCTTGGAGGTGGTATATTTTTTTCAAATTAGAATAGGATCACTACTACCTTTTCCAACAAAAAAAAGAATCATCGAAATCGGTTCACATATCACGTAAAATCGCGTAACATGCAACACAATTATTACAATTATTTCTCCGTTATTATTGTGAACATTTTTAATTTTTTATATTGTAATGTATTTATAATGTATGTTGTAATGTATAGCTTTATTAAAAGCACAAGAAGAAGAAGATATATCATATCATATCACGTCACGTCACAATTTCGTCATACAATTTCTCGCTCTACGAATGCTATAATTCCATATTTAGGAGAGAGTACCAAGACCTTTTGTTTCATTACCCGGGTCTGTAATTTGTGGGATACGCTTCAGTCTTTTTTTTGCAGGTGTAGGCTCCGGGCCAATTGATGCATTCTTCGCCACGTCCGCACGCTTCTGAGTTTTCTTCACATTCATTGATATCTGAAAATACCAGTAAGAAGATTTCTAGTTAGTGTGCATGATGATTGATGACCGATATAATAAGGGTGTATCGTTTTTCAAATTTATATGAATCCACAGATACAAACCGTATGTAGATACAAGTCGTATCTAAACGCGATTTGAAAATGGTGAAAATCCTGTTCTCGGCCAAATCTTGAAAATTTCTCGTTTGCTAAGGACTCATTAACGTATTATTATGTTAAGACTTAAGGCGAGCCTAGATTTAAGGAGGCGCGGTGAGGTGAGCGCTTCCCGCAATCTGCGCGCTTAAAATAATATGAATAAAATAAGAACAGGCGGAGAAAATTTGACACAGAGACAACGTGACTGACGGGGCGGTAGCGTGGCGTATTGTGAAGCCCACAGACCACGTGAAGCCGCTGGGCAAACTTCAAGTTTTCGGATAATTATGAATTTAATAACTACACTACTAAAACTATTATAATTAATTATAGACAACCATAAGATTCAATCTAAATAAATTGGTGTAGACCTCCATTGAGTGTGCTACTTGGAAAACAATTCGTTTTTTCTGTTGACGCAATTGAATGTAAAAAGTAAATAATGATGCCAGTATTCTAGAAATAACTTGACAGTTTTTAAAAAGAATAGCTGACCTTCACAGATTCCAGTGTTGAAGTTAGCACTGAATCCAGGCTTGCACCGCCTAGAGACATGATCTTGACAGAAAAAGCTGCCATGCGTGTTAATGCAGTACTGAGACAGTCTATTACAATCGTCCAAATGTTCTTCGCATTCGTCCACATCTGTAGAATACAGAGTACAGTGCCTTTTGAAATTTGAAATATTTTTCGATTTTTTCTTATTAAAAGTATCGTTATATTATCTATCGTGAACATTTTTAGGAATCGTTTTTTCGCACCGTATAGAAATCAGTGCATATCCTCAATTTTAATATATATTTTTTCCAAAGTGAATTCAACACTTTCACTTTTATGCGGAATCAACTAAAGCCATTTGATGTAGTATAGACACTTATGATCGATATACCCTACTTGAAACTTACCTATACAATCATCTTTTGGCCCGGCTCTAAAACCAGGCGGACATATGTCAATTCTCATGTCAATACCACTTGGAGTCACGGGCGGTCGAAGTGTTGACGCCACAAAATCGTCTGTAAGCGGCCTGCCCGGTTTGCCATTACATTTGTACCCGCCTATAGTGTTCTCGCAAATTCTTCTTGGACAAGGTGCATATGGTAGATTGCATTCGTCAATATCTACAACATTTTATTAATTTAAAATCTCTCTTTCGTCAAACCATGAAAACATGATGAACCAACAATCGTTTACTCCATTGACTTACAATTATATGGACGTCGGGTCCGCGCTAAAAAGTGTCCGCACTTGTAAGGCGCTAAAATCGTATACAGAGCGCGACACTCCGCTTTAGTCTTCATTTGTTCTACGGACAGCGCGATACTGCGATGACATAACAATTTAAATTTGGAATAGGTTGACTTGGGACATTTTTTTCGTGGTTTTTGTATTAGACCCGTCGTCCATTTATTTGTAAGTCAATGGTTTACTCTAATAATGTCTTCAATTTGATTGTCAAATCTTTTATTTCATATTTTTCACACATTGCGTCACATTGATTAGATACTATTACTAATTTGTAAGGCAAATGCGCCTCAGAAGACTCTAGGGGCTGCTCTTTGTACACATTTATCATTTACTATTATATTTATTTCAAATATCATAGAAAGAAACAATCTAAAAAGTTAAACGGATAAATCTTATTATAGAAGCTTATACATATACACGAGACAGTACTCCTGCGCATTAACACCTCACGGCAACTGGTGCGAATCATCAAGAAGCGTCAAATCACATAACATAAGGGACTGGACCAAAGTCACGAGTGCAGAACAACTGGCCTTGAACAGGGACAAAGACAAATTTGCCATATTGACGGCCAACTTCAAATAGTGGAGAGTCATTTTAAGAAGAAGAATATACACATTATTAGTAGTGATTTGTAAATATTATTATAGATAATGCAAGAGAACGACTACTTACCGTCACAAACTTGATTCTTGACATTAGGTTTGTAACCGGGCGGGCATGAGAAACCAACCTCTCTCTTTTTTATTGGCACACACTTGAACGAACCGGGAGTGTTGTGACAGACTGTGCCGTCAGATGTGCACAAATCGTCAGTTGACTCAGCACATTCGTTGATATCTGGAATGATAAAAGTATTGATGATATATGGGATATCTAGAAAGGGTTTTTTGAGGAGAAAGTCGTAGACTGAGGCCAAGTTGCTTCTCAAATGTAATATGGAGCTTATCCGACTCAGATTCATCTTAAAATTTGTGAACACAAAAATGTTTTGTGGATATACACAATTATATTTTTGTAGCTGATAGAACTGTAGATATAGAGTGAACATTGTCTTCCAGAATAGCAACTGATAGGTAAGAACGAACAGTTCTTGTTTTTGTATGCCAATTAAAATCAAATTTAACGCTTTGCTTTTAAACATACATTTTTGTTTTTTTATTTATTGAAGAATACACAAAAATGCTAATTGGTTATACTACGTACATATTTGATTACTACGCTACATTTGCTTTACACTCTAGTTTGCTAATGCTGTCATAAAAGCTGTTAGCATCCTGGACCTCAGAGCCAAGACAATAAGCTACATGAGACAGCATTTCGTGGGCGCGTTGTCGGCATGGCAGGAGTGCCGCACGGGAAGCGCATACAGCTGATGTCGGCGTGTCGGTCTCAAACTCAAACTAAAATCATCTTTATTTCATAGGTAAGTAAACTACACTTGAAATCCTCATATTGATTAAACTCTACTGCTTGTTCATAATACAGTATCCCCTGAGAAGAAAGAGCAAGAAACTCTAGAGGTTACTCTTACAAGTACGCAGAAGTTGTACATAACCATTAGTATAAAGTTTTTATTTCACTATAGTTTTAAATCTCGTAACTACAGTCTTAAACCCCATAAGCCATCGGCGTAGAGATCTTCATATCCTTTCACAACTCCACTCAATTCTATTTTATCCCTTTACGCCTTGTTATCTTAAAGATCGCTTTACTTTTCACTCTTGGGTCCCCTTCGCTCCTCTGATACTCTCATACTGAACTTGCTCTCTTATATCTCTAACTTTTATTCCAACACTTTTACCATTTCTGCGATCAGATTGTGGAATTCTCTCCCTGAATCGATTCGACGATCCCTTTCTCTTGATTCCTTCAAATAACTTGTCAAGGATCACTTCCTCAACTTCTAAGTTTCGTGTGTCTACTATCCTTCCATTTATTTCCTACATTTATACATCATTTTTCTTTTTCCTCTAAAAGTCTATAAGCATTTAATATTATTGTGTATTTATTGTTATGTAGGTATGTATTCACATTAATATTATTAGTATGTATATGTATATCTATCTACGGATATGTATATATTTTTATTATTACTTATTATGTAGTGTACTTATGATGATATTATGATACTATGATATATTATTACTTATGATATTCTTTGGTTGCACCCCTTTTTGCATATCCGAAATGCCTATCGTAAGGTTGCCTGGAAGAAATTGCTACATAGCAATAAGGCCGTCTGTTGCACATTAACTTACTAATGTATGAAAGCTAATGTATTTCATTGTAATTTTAAGTGCAATAAAGAATATTTCATTCATTCATTCATTCAAATCCTCGCTTCACCTCCTCGCCTCAGAGAGAAAACCTCACATGCATCGTTTTCACATAGTTCGTTTTTACTGATTTTTGTTGAAAATAAGCTTATAAACTTCTTGCTCAAATATAAAGTACATAAAACTAATCTAGTATCTGAAAGAGGTATAATTTAAGTAATTAAAATGCTGACTATAGACATTATTGCGTTTGCTACATTTTACACCATATTTTTATTTTCGTCCTGAAAAATTACGATAGAAGTCACATACGAGGTATTTACTCTAAGACGACGAAATAGATTTTAGTTTAACATCTTGATTTTTTTCTTTATCCTTGGACTTTCATGTCTAGTAGAGTATTATTGGGCCTTGTATTCCATACAGAGTTTTTTACCTTTGCAAGACTTCTTATCGCTCGAGAGTCGATAGCCATCATGACAACTGCAGGTTACTTTGTCATTTTCGATATTGCACGTTTGCTCGCATGAATCAGGTTTACAAGTGATTTTCTCCGTAACAACCTCAACTGGGGGTTTATTGGCTGCTTCCTGAAGATGTGGAAATATTTTGAATAAAATACGGATCAAGTCAATTGTTATAAAAAAATTAAACGAAAATCTTAGCCAGTGTCTATAAATCGCTCTCTTTGTGTAATAAATGTAAAATTTTCAGGAGAGAGGTTGAAAAATTCTACAAACGAAATTAGTCACCTTTTACCTAATTACCTTTTTAACCGACTTCAAAAATGGAGGAGGTTCTCAATTCCAAATTTTGTATGTATGTTACGCGATAACATACATACAAAATTTGTGAATCGATTGTGATGATTCTTTTTTTTGCAAATTTGGGGATGAATGGCTTTTGAGGTCGGTTTTTTTATTATACTTAAATGGGACAGTTAGAAAATTTAATGTATCCTTGTTATAAACAACGCATTTGCATTTTTCAAGATTTTTTTTTCGATAAATATTCTTTCAGTTGTCTATGCTTAACAATAAAACTGAAACTAAATAACATAAAAAACCCGCTTATAGGTGGTTGTATGTAGATCTCGTTTTGTCGATCCCAAGTATACTAATAACTCAGTTTCGCTAAAAATGACGATTATGTTGTTTATGACAAAGACGGCAGTATGACTTTCATGTCATAAAAGCACTTCAGATGTATGAGAGAGTATGATCACTATGACATGTGGCTTTATTATATACCATGAACCTATAACTCAAGAGGACTGCTATTCAAATATTGATCATGATATGATAGCTCATGCTCAAGAGAGAATTTATAAATTAACGCTTCCTAATATAGATAGATGGAGCTAATCCTAAACACAATAAAAGAATAGCCGGCTGTGTACACAATTTTGCGCCCTTTACCCTTTTAAACCGGAACATAGTAATGCTGACATTGCTTGGCGGCATAAATAGGTAAGATAGCAGTACTTCCCTTTACCCTTTTAAACCGGAACATAGTAATGCTGACATTGCTTGGCGGCATAAATAGGTAGGATAGCAGTACTTCCCTTGACGAATTTATAAGGAGCTCTACTGCTACTAAATTAATTAATTCCTCTTTAATATGAAATATAAGACATTATAATTTACTTGTAATGTTGTTCAATTATTGACCATGAACTAAAATTACTTTCTGAACTTTGATAAATATGCGTGTCGATAGATGGCAGTGTGTGTTACAAACGAATTTATACATTAACGTTTTCTAATATGGGTAGACGGCACTCATCCTAAACAAAATAAAAGAATAGCCGGCAGTATACATAATTTTTTTTTTTTTATAATATCAAGTGACGGCACGAATCAGTCGCACACCTGGTGGTAAGCGACACGCTTGTCCATAACAGTTGCAGTACCACTCAGAGCTTTAAATCGTTAAGATCTGAGGGACACTGTCACAGCGCCCGTCACCCTGAGACATACGTTTATACACGTACACATTTTATACACGTACATAGATTTGTATTTTGCCAAATACATAGATTTGTATTTTGCCAAATACAAATCTATGCAATAAGCGCCATCTAGTTAATTTGTTTGTTGTCACTAGAAATTAGAGTAGCTTGGATAAATTACAGCTTGTCAAAGTAAAACAAATTAGTTACAAAAATACCAATTTGGTACTCGTCGCGACATCTGGTGTAACAATAGGTACGAAATACTCGACAACGCTGTCTTGTACTTTGGAGTTGTTGATCTTTAATTATACCAAGGGTACGAAATGTTAGTTAAATTGCGCTCACAGTTGATATTAGGTCCGCGAGAGTGTTGAAACTGACAAACCTACATAACAAATAGGTAACTAAGTAGAAATAGGCTAAGTTACCAGACAGCACTTATAAAATGCGTTCTTCCTGAGAGTCGTCGCAGTACTCATGTCGTTGTCTGGTGGTCCCCCACATCCAAATTTGCCTTGAGACTCGCCTGTTAGCCTTCCAAGGGAACACTCTTCACAACAATTCTGAAAATGAATAAAATTTATAATTACTTTTACGTGAATGTACACGCCGCGTAGGCTACATAAGACAAGTTAGTCATATGAATTAATTTTGTAAGAAAACGTAACTTTTACAGTCGTATTTGTTGTATATACAGTCACATGTGTCACCGGAGGAGAAGCTGAAAAACTGTTTTGCTACATCAAATGGTTTAAGATATACTGTTAAGTATTGGTTTTATAAAAAATATACGATACATCTATGGTTATTGTCTAAATAATGTGCTAACTCGTTACACGATATGATGTACTTTACCCGATCATATAAAATCCCGAAAACAGGCTAAAATAAAAATCTAAAACTAATTATTCAAAAATAAAATAGGTATCTAACTTTGCACATAATTATTATATGTAGATATTATCTTTAAGTACTACAGAAAACCTGCTAAATATTGGTTTTCAACAGAAGCCCCTATAGTTATTCAATTCACATTTATCCCAAAACTTCAAAATTGCCCAGCGGTTTACGGTTCTGTGTCAATTAATTTTCTCGCTAAAATACTTCGTCTTAAAAGCGTTCTGCACTTCTCTGTACTCGTTGAGCCTGTGGTTCGGATACAATCAACGTGCGTACAATGTTCTGCGCATCCAATATACTTAGTAACGCATTCAGGGTGCTGTTGGGGCTGCCTCAATTCTGTAGTGCTTCGAGTATGTTCGTTGAGACACGCGCAGAGACAGTTCAACGTTGTATGGCGCAAGAAAACGAACTCGCTTATAGACAGAGTGTGGGGCATACAGCATCTTGAAGATGATATCTAAGAAATTTGATTGCACTTTGATGTGGAAACTCAGTCAATGGACAAAACCATTTTTATTATTATTATAATTATTAAGTACTAACTTAGGAAAGAAATTTTTGAAGGATTCCTACTTACAAATATAAAAACAAAACCACTGAACATCTGTCTGACCTCTTGCTGAGGATATGCATGTCAAACAGGAGAATTCAAAAATTCTTATCTCAACAAAATAAGAATCTGCCAAAGAGGGATAAAAAGAAGCTACATTAATATAAAGCTGAAAGACCATGCTAAAAGCTCAACGGTGAGGAAAAACACAATGGCAAGTGATGTTATAAAGCGAGTATTATCCCTAAAATGGAAATGGCTGGCCACGTTCAAAGAGCCACAGACAAAAGGTGGTCACAGACAGTGAAGAATTGGTACCCGCTTTATAACCAAAGAAGACATCAAAGAGATGGAGCGATGATATTGCAGAAATAGCAGGATCGCTGTGTCCAAGATTCGTACAAGACAGAGTCTGTTGGAAGAAGTTGGAGGAAGTTTTTACGAGAGGCGTAAATGCGTACGCGAGGCGATGATCTTGTAAGGGGAGCGAGTAACCCATGGAACCACGTCGCGTGCGATAATACGATAAAAAGCGTGCGTTTGAAAATCTTTGGGGGAGACCTATGTTCAGCAGTGGACGATGATGTGGATGATGATGGGAGTTATAAAATGTTACATAATATACATAATTTATTTCATGTAGTTCGTATTATCATTCTTATGACTTTCCTGTAATACAAGCACTGTGGACGTATGATCACATGTGACTCTATTATAACCAAGGATGACTTTTTGAATGATGGATGATCGTTCATTTAATTACCTTTCCGATGTCAGTATCAGGACTAGAGCAACGCTTTGCACTGGAGAATGTCATTCCGTGAGCGCAGTCTGCTTTTCGTCTAAAAACAAAGTTTGTATATGTATTTTTTGAACTACTAAAAATACGCCAAGTATACCTTTGGCAGGTGCCACGTACGTTCCTTTTTCTAAAACTATTTCGTCCGTTTTCTAAAAATGTTAGTTTTCTATTTGCGTCATTTTACTATTAGATAGGTAGGATATCAAACAAACTTATGACATACCTACAATCAGTGGCGGATTTTCAGTACCCTAGGCCTCAGGCCATGTAGTCAGTACCAGCCGCCCCTTTCTCAGCACTCATCATATACTGGTAGACTACATAATCAATTTACTTTATTGCCAACTTTTATCGAAATCAATTCAGAAATTTATTTAACTATAATAGCTACTCTGTCTAATGGTGGACACCGCATGAAAATCCGTTCAGTAGTTTATTATTTTATCGCGATCAGACAGCCAGACGCGGTAGTGATAATATGTAGTGATGTAGTGATTATACATTACATTATAGATATGTAACATATCTATATTTTATACATAAAATGTACAACAGTGATTTAGGAAGATTATTGTTACACGATGCGGTGCAGTGCGGCCCGCCATAATGTGCGTGAGCCTTTAGAATATTTAGGTATTTTGAGTTATTTCTTGTTATCACTTTTATCATCATCGTGAATTTTTTGTCACGATTAGCCGGCCCTAAAGTCTGGCCGCTCTAGGCCCGGGGCTACTGGACCTTAGGGCAAATCTGCCCTGGGTACAATGGTAATAATGAAGAAAAAGGCTAGTCTAGGTTTGCGGGTATGGTCTGTCTGGAGTGTATGTTGTGTCGAGGTGCAGACTTGAGTGTACTGTGTCAGCAATAAGGGCCCGACTCTGCATTATCATTAGAGTTCAATCGAACTACGACATTGATGATTCTGCCAGGTCTAAGGTATAAAAATAAGTAATTCAGAAATAAAAAATCAATATGGTGTCAGAATATAAGGTACGTAGTCATAATATTAACTGTAATACGAATAAGCAATTATACTTAAGCATGGACAAGGTAATTGGAAACAAAAGAAAGAAATACGATGAAAAAGAAGAAAGGTATACGATGTATGTGTGTGGGTACGGAGTGTGTGGTTGTGTAATTGTAGATGAATGGGTGTTTTTATTTAGTGGTGTGTGTTTGTGTATGTAGATATGTAATAAGTGAGTGGAGTGCATGTGTGGTTCGAAAGGTATATATCACTATGAAAATATTCGCGGGCAGGTAATGTAAAGGAGATTAAGGTTAATTTGTGAACTTTTTATATTTGTATACAATATTTACAGTACAGTGAAGTATTAATCTTCAATTTCTTATTTCACTTTCTGCATTTGTTCACTATCATAGACTGTACCTATAGTATAGTCTACTTGGATATACTTTTCTAAAAATTTTTTTCATTTCAAATGCAGGTACTGCGGACAAGACGTCATTTTGTCATACCGCAGTACCATCGGCGCGACTGCAGGCAAGCGCGTGTTCAACTAAAATAGTATATTACTAGGAATTGCTATCAAGTACGCCGTCGCAACAGTATGTGTATGAAAGTGTGTATACGAATTTAAGGATGCTGTTAGCCAATTTTCCGAAAAATTTGAAATAGAGGAAATTTTTAAAATTTAAACTTTTGACAGGTGTCAATATCAAATGTGGGAAATTAAAGGAAAAATATCCTGAAAAAAACCACGCAGTGGCGGCGGTGCCCCTGTTGTTCCGGCGTTGTGTGTAATCAGCCTAACAATCGCGAAAACTTAAGAACTTATTGTTAAAGTACTAACTTGATGTACTGTTGGCAGCAGCTCTTCATCACCTCAATACACACCAACGTCTGGTTGACCTCAATGCTGTCAGGGGGTTCGGTGCCGTCGCAATCCTGGTTGCCCAGCACTGCGTACGCTTCGCCGTGAACACAACATGAGTCGGTCACTTCTGCTCTTTCCTCTGAGGTTAAGGCTGGAAATAGTTTCATTATTAGTCAACATGGATTATAGGCGTTACACAGGTGTCAGTAGGTACTAAAGCCAACCATGAAATCTCTCATTCCGAAACCAACCCTTCGATCCGGCTGGACTCGAACCAAAGACCTCTACCAACGTTGAGAGAAGGCGAGTTGAGAATTGGATCCAATTCTGGATTTATCTTTTTACTGCTGCACACAACAACGCGTAGTATATCTACCATGAATAAGCCTACGTTGAAAGTGAATTGAAGGAAGATGACTGCAGAGTTTGAGAACAAAACTTCTCAAAATATTCTTTATCTGGATCAAAGGCATAATTTACTAGACATCGTTGTTATCCCTGAGAAATATCGTTTATTTTGATCCGTAAATGTAGGTAAAACCAGCTAACAGCAATATAACATTACTAACAAAACGCCCAGACCAGTACCGATTTAGAAAAGTTCGTTCCCCAAATTGGTTCTACCGAGACTCGAACTCGGCACCTCCTCATCCAAGTCCCGCAGTGCAAACCGTTGGGCCGCCGGGATCATCATGTTTTTAACTTATAAGCATTTGTTACGTTAGTAAAACTTTATCTAAAGACAGAAATGTATTTTTAGGTAGCTATACATGACTGTCGTGATTTTATTATAGCATATATTGCTCTATGTGTAGAAACGGGCTTATTTTCCCAAAGTCAAAGTCAAAGTTATTTATTCCATAGGTAAAAAATAAATTTACACTTGAAAACGTCACATTTAAGCTACTGCTCGTTCACTACGATGAACTCCCTGAGAAGAACGAGCAAGAAACTCTAGGGATTGCTCTTTTTAAATAAACTTAAATGCTATGGAATACACTTTGAATCAAATTTGTGTGAATTCTGGAGCCGTGTCGTCTTTCCATACATCTTTATCTAACACGTAGTCTTCAATTTTATATGATTTTTCGATCAAAATATTTTTAATGTAGTTTTTAAACTTAGGAAATGATAAACTTAATATATACTCCGGAATCTTATTGTAAAAACGTTTACAGTTCCCCATAAAAGAGTTGTTTACCTTCGAAATCGTGGTACCATAAGTTTGGACTTAGCTCTAATGTTAATATTAATATTATTCTCAACTCCACGGTTACTTGCACGTATTTTACGTGTACTTCGGTAATAAAACCAATCAGCTAAACAAGTGGGTAAATTATGACGGCGTGGGTGGATCATACAGGGCCTCTTCAGATGACAGGATTTCTATATTTAACTAGGCACATAAAGTAGTCTAGTTATTCTTTGCCTGGCCCAGCGGTTACCAATGTGGATGCTAGATGACGAAATTCGATTTTCAGTTGAACCAATTTGGGAGAACGAAAATTTCTACATTCATTCTACCTGCGTAGTGACCCTGTGATCATTTCCGGGCTCTAACTTGAGATCAGGTAATAGGTGTGATTGTCTGGCACATTACATACAAATAAAAAAGAAAAAGAAAATATACTGTTATTTATAATAAAGATCTAAATTTAAAAAGGTCCGCGCAAATATATAGGTCTGTTTTTAGACAAGCAAACAGATCAGATCCCCGTCAAATACGAGTTCGTATACAAACATGAGAACTGTGAACCAGACATACACTTGAGGGAAGATAGTTATCACTTAAAATTGATCTTTCACCTTGCTGGAAAGTTTTGGTAATAGTTAATTGTCATTCTAAGTCTCTAGACACGAAATCATTGGTAGAGTTTGGATGAGTCTTCCGCAGTTTAATGTTGCTTAATTGTTATTACACTGCTGTCACTTGGCTGCCCCGATTTTTTCTTCCAATGAGTATCATTCTTAATTTCGAATAACATTACAGTACTTCGACTACACATTAATTCCACGGAACACTACTTCGACAAAACACATGTTCGACAGGTCACTAGTCCGACAGAATACTGCTTCGACAACACAAACATTCGATAGCTCACTACATCGACAGAAAACTACTTCGACAACATATGTATTCGACAGGTTACTATTCCGACAGAACATGAAATATAAATATAAGTACAATATTGCTGTACTGACAGACTACTTAGGACCACTTCATTCTTAAGCGGAATATATCATATACATATTTATGTCTGAGAAATAATTAATAAACTTGTTAAGCAGTTATTTATCAATAGTGACCTGTCGAATGTTTGTGTTGTCGAAGCAGTGGTCTATCGGACTAGTGACCTGTCGAACATGTGTTTTGTTGAAGTAGTGTTCTGTCGAATTAATGTGTAGTCGAAGTACTGTTGAGCCGAAATAGTGTTTGTCGAAATTAAGTATGACACTCCATTTTTATAGACAACTCACGCTTGACCAAGAAATTGGCAACGCCAATATTGTTTGCACAAAAAAGACTTAATGGTAAATCCTAAGATAGGTTATAGTTTCGGATTTCCCCTTACTGTCCCAGTTAAAAAAGAACATACTGTGTTATCGCACGTTTGGTTTAATAAGGTCACATTTGCAAAATGACAAGCAAATTTAGGAAAGAGATCTAATGATTTTACGAACAAAATTAATAGACTAACTTCTATGTTTAAATAAGAATGTAGCGAATCACAGCACACGCTTCAAATCTCCGTTGTATATAATATATTTTATATGGTCTTTTTCTTTTTTCAGTTTCATATTAAATTCCAAAATTAAATGTGATTGTTTTTGGCGCCATTTCTTTACTATTGTTTCTGTTTTGATTGATAGCGGTGCGTTGTCTGAACTGTAAGTAGGTACATTTACTTTGGTCTTGCTCACTCTTTGATAGCACCTACCCGAACCCATTGATACAGTCCGCTACAAAGGGAGATAAAATTCATATTATTTTTAGATTTTCATGTTTTAAAAGCACTTTTGACGTATGTTACGTTTTATACGATATATTTAGATATTCCAACTACCTTGTCTGTCGCACATTTTAGGAGTATAATAAAATGTATGTAAACTGCTATAATTCCTTTCCATTTCTATAGTAAAGAGCTAAAAACTTTATAATGTTAATAAAGCGGGAAGAAAAATTCATCCTATGAGCATTTGTTACGTGTTTGCTAGAAACTTCTAAGCAGTAGTATAACATGATATTACCATCTCCCTGAAGTAAATAAATTAAATATATTTTGTATAAAATAATAATTAATATAATCTAAATTATTATATGAGGCTGGGTATTGATAAAACGATCCACTAAGGCTCTATTTACATTGCCGCAACACGGAACGGATTACGGTAACCAAATTGTATATAGAATAATGTAGGTACTTTACGTTAATTGTGTAACATACAAACTACGATACGGCTGCAGGAATTCCAGAGTCTGCGCGAGAATTCTCAGGAAGACACGTGATCAGTTGTTTAACTCGTATCTACATAGTTTGTATACACAATTGACATAAAATTCAATATGATGTGGTTACAAAGATTATTTTTAAATCCGTTACGCGGCAACGTAAATTGTGCCTAAGAGTACCGATTGTAAACAAGATGTGTTTATTTCCTAAGATCACGTTTTCTTGAAGTTCTTAGGTTGTACGCTATCTCATAAGCGGAAAGCGGGACTGTCTTCCAGTCGTTCGATTTTTGTCTACTCCACTCCAAATGGAACATCCTGTAATTAGCTTGAATTCAAATTTTTCCCGTGCTTATTAGCACGGTATTCGGTTCATTTTGCTTGGGTCGAGCAGCAGAGACACTGGCTGTATTGCAGAATTTATTTTTTTTACAAACGAAATTAAACAATTTAAAAAATGTATATCGTACTACGAACTACCTAAATGGAACACGTATACTAATACGTGTTCTATTTAGGTAGTTCAGTTGATATAAAAAAAACCATTGGTTTATGTAAAGCACCTGTTGAATACAGCGGTTTGAAAGGAAATTTGTGTTTTTTTTCTATCGTGAAAATTTTTAAAAATCGTGTTTTCACACCGTATAGTAATCAGTGTATATCCTATTTTACTACATATTGTTTCCAAAGGATTAATTCTACACTTTCACTGTTATCGGAATCAACCAAAGCCATTTGAGGCTGTATAGACTCTGTATATAACATAGTATGTTGCCACACACCCCTTAAAGCGTTGTAAAGACTTCCTCAAATATAATAATAATTTAGAAAGCGATCTTGCTCGATATGGCAGGTATTATTCGCCGGTTCTTGACCCTGAGTACTTGACCCCGATCAGTCGTGGCATAGATTTCCAAAATAATAATAATAATAATGTGCCAGACAACCACACCTTTTAATTTAATTACCTGATCCAGAGCCAGAGCACTCAGACCAGAACCAATTTAGAAAACGTCATTTCTCAAATAGGTCCTACCGGGAATATAACCCGAGGTCACTAAGGTCGTCTATACTGCACTCCCGTCCTATCAACATCTAATTTGAAAATAAGCGTCAAGACACGTCCTTTAAAAATTGAAACAGGGAATTCGTTTCAAAATGTACAGATTTATATATTACATTTTGTACGATAAGCCGATTTTCCAGTTAGGCGGTTAGGTTTCTGGTGCCAAAAAAGCCACATATTTCGGGTTTACAGGTTCCACGGTCACGGCTGGTGGGATGATAAAGCCATCTATCAGTCAGCCGTGATTACGGGACCTGACTCGAAACGTTGGTTTGTTTGAAAAAACAAATTAACGCAATTTAGATTCGAAAATCTAAGAACTTGATAATAAGTACATATTTGTCAAAATGTTTTATTTTACAAAATATTTTTTTAACAGTTTCAAGTGACGGGACGAACAAGCCGTGAGCCTGATGGTAAGCTACATGCCTGTCCATAACAGTTGCAATGCCACTCTGAGTTTTAAATCGCAAAGATCAGAGGGATACTGCCACTACGCTCGTCACCCTGAGACATAAGCTGACAAGTCCCATGTGCCTATAATTTCACTAGCACCCTTACCCTTCAAAACCGGAATACAGTAATGCTGACATTACTGCTTGGCGGCAGAAATAGGTAAGGTGGCAAGTACTACCCTGGACGAACTCTTTTACAAGGAGCTCTACTGCTACTAAAGCTAGTGCTGTTAGGTTCCTAGGTGACTACGAGACCTGCTTGCTTTTGATTGCGTCTCCCGATCGGAAACTGCGCCTTTTCCGAGTCGAGGCGTATAAGTGCGAATGGGCTACCGATTCCAATTTGAATTAAAATCCGGGCCCAGACTCGAAACGTTGTTGGTTTGTTTGAAAAAACAAATGAACTCGATTCACATCCAAAAAAATTGTTTCGTTTTCTATGTGTAACATTAGCGAAAATCTAAGAACTCGATAATAAGTATTTGTCAACATCTTTTAAACAAAATAATTTATTTCAAAATACGAAATCCGAAATGAATTGTCTCTTTATTGATTTATCTTTCCCACCGGAATATTTATGGCATAATCTATCCGCTTTCTGCTCTCTCTTATTAATATATCGTCACCCCCAGTCATATCTTACATCTTGTTTATAATTCGCGAGTTGCGATGATCTTGCGACCTTTCTATTTATACTGCACCTCAAATAATGAAGTGAAAACAACTATATAGATATTTACTTGTTTTCAACAGCGTCATACTAGGAAAAGGCAAACATCTTATGTGTTCAGAAGCTAGTGTTATTGTTCTTAAATGTACTGCGGTCGGACCCACGGGTGACGTGTGAGATGACACACATACAGTTAATTTTGTTTGTTGAAACGATTGGGCGGCATTATACACGCTGCAAACATTTGTGCAACAGGTAAACAGTAAACAGTACATGCCACAAGAGAAATAATGTTTTTGTTGGAGGTTATGGGTCCGTATATGAAACTTCAAGGTAAAGAAACAATAAACCAACGTTTTAGACTAGACGTAGGTTTGGGTTCCACCCCTATGTTATGGATATTCCTAAGATTCTCACGAAGCGTTACATTTCCACATTTATATGGCGAACGACTATGGAATCGAATTCCCTGCAAGCAGACTTGTTCCCTGAACGTTATAACTTGAACCTTTTCAAGGCGAGAGTGAATAGGCATTATTTAGGTGTGCATGCTTCATCGTCGACCTCATCGTCACTGTCTATCAGGTGAGATGGAGGTCAAATGTGCACTTACATTTTTATAAAAAATAAGAAATAAAAAACCTCGGTTTGTTTGGAACAATAAATATACGCGATTTAGACACGCAAACGAGCTCGATATTATCAAATCCCACGTGCCTGTAATTTCACCGGCATCCTTTTACCCTTCAAAATCGCAACGCAGTAATGTTCACATTACAGCTGCAGCAGTAATGAGTACAAGGAGATCTATTAGGTACTGTTTCTAATAATCTGTCGAATATATTTAACCAGATTTATAACCATTAATCATCGAATGATAAACTGTCGTTGCCTATTTACTCAAATGTTCTGTTTCACAAAACAATAATCATGAAGAAACAAACTCGAACATTACTCACCGTTTGCGAAATTCACGGAAATAATACATAACACTATTGCTAACACAGTACATAACTTCATATTTATTTATTTTTTAAATGATATAATTAAATACAAACTAAAAGAAGCGCAAGTAAATTTCAAATAAAACAAAATTCACTATTTCATATTTCTGTTTCTTCACTAGTACTTCTGCTACTTTTTTTTTAATAACAGTCTTATGATACGCGTATTCCGCCTCGCGTCTTATTCGTAAGTGATACGCAGGGTCACAGATATTTGATAACATTGTACGAGCTGTAAGCAGACTGTTCACAAATGCTATAATTCGCGTGCGGGAATATCTCGCGGGAAGATTTCGTACTTGTTTCGTATTGTTGTTCCATATAGGAATTTCCGGTTCATCCGACAGGCTCAAGAAAAGTAATGGACTTGGGTGTATAAATATCATACAGCTTATTACAATGTCAGGCACATATATATAGAACTTGTCAACTTAATGGCGGCGTTTCATATGGCTACTTCATTCGCTATTGTTTTTTTGGCACTTTTGGAAAAATATTTGACGAGCAGATAAATATACAAACACTGACAAATATGACCGTCAGCCAAATAAGGAGTTAAAATAACGGATATGACCGTAGTGTGGACGATTTACTTGCGAATTTGCTATTTGGCTTGGATAGTTTAACCGAATCATTCTATGGATATTGTTCTCGAATCGAAGAGCGCTTTCCGAGCTATTCAGAACATTCAATTTAAACGTTCGATTCGGATACGATATCGTTATCCAACCGCGCTTACGGAATTAGTCGGTGGAATACGAAAATCCTTTTATAAATATTTTTAAAAGACCTAAAATATAGTAATGCATCGTCTTGCATTAAAATGAATTAATAAAATTAAGCAAAATCCAGACTTTATTTAAAATAATAGGACGTTATTCTAGGATTATTTAAACAATAGGAGTTCTATAAGTATTATATAAACAATATGACGTTCGGTAACTTTCATTGAATAACTGTGTTCTGAATAACGTCTGTAGCCCTTGCCGGTCGAGAAGTTCGAGTAATCGTACGGTGTAACGTCATTTCGGTTTGGTTTCGAACACGACAGTTTGACGTTCAATTGGGGTGTTGTGAATAAAAATGAAAAGAAATCGTAAGACACCAAATCGAATCTAGTTGTCGTAAGGTTCTTCGACCCCCAGAGCGCGGTAACGTGAGTTTGGTGTTTGCTGTATTTATCGAATAGGCCAACTAGGCAAATACTTTGTTATACAGACTATCTACACATGGTTATTGTTTGCCAAATATGTCAAATACGCAAATACACAAAGCCTTGTGAACTGCCACCATGTTTCAAGCTGACGGGCGCAGTGGCAGCGTCCATCAGCTTTGAGATTTTAAAGCCCTGTGTGGCACTGCAACTGCTATGTTCAGGGCGTTTCCCTTAACACCAGGCGCACGACTTCTTCGTCCTGTCATTAGGTATCATAAAATAATATGTAATTCAGCAGTCAATACAGAGAAAATAACATAATTCTTAACAGTTCCTAACTGAAAGGCCAGTTATTGACTTCGTTTATATCGATTACTTGCCTCCTTTTTATAATTAGTTTAGTTTACACCGATCAGAAAGATTAAGGGCGGGCTAAAGCCTAAAACCAACAAACGTTGTAATCCTTACTTGACACCATTATTCATAAGTTTTCCTTTACTTTTCCACTTATACGTAATATATCACTTGTACTACACACACATATATATATAAAGTTTTCAGCGAACGAACTAACAGATATTTTTAATGGTTCTTCACTTTGCTGAAAACTTTGAAACCTTTTAACTTACACGCTGCATCTATTGTATATCGATTTTTATGGAATGAAAAGGTAAGAATAGTGCAAGAAAAGAGAAGCTTATTAAAGACAATGGAAAACTGAAGGATAAAAATATTTGGGTATCTGATACGTCAAGACAGTTTTCTTAGAAGCATTATAACTATAAGGAAAGATCTAAGGAAAGAGAGGCAGAAGACGGAGACGTAATTATTTGAATAAGATAAGTGACTTTATGATACAAACATCAACATAATCCAGTATAGGCAAGAGCAAGCCTGCGCAAGTTCAACCTTGGTCCTCAAAGGAAGCACATTTTTCTACCTTTGCAGTGAATCGGAGGCCGCAAACGCCTATCAACTGACATCAGCATTTTAGTAGCAGTAGAGCTCCTTATGAAAGAGTTCACCCAGGGAAGTACTGTAAGCATTACTGCGTTTCGGTTTTGAAGGGTAAGAGTGCTCGCGAAATTACAGGCACATGGGATTTGTCAACTTATGTCTCAAAGTGATGGGCATAGTGACAGCACATTCATGAGTTAAATCTTTGCGTGGCACTGCAAAACTGCAACTGTTATGGACAGTGGTGTCGCTTACAACCAGCCGCGCGAGTTGCTGGTCTCCTCATTTGGTATTATATGGTAAAAAAAATCAGCGACACGAGGTTACCAAGAAAGGGTGGAATCGAATATAATGCCAAGGTTTCTGGCAACATGGATGATAGACAAAGGGAACGAGTTGAATAAAAGAGGGGGAATAGTTTAGTCATTGGCAATCTGCTTTGAGTCACGAAAGTAAGGGAGTAAAAGAGTTGATAAAGATTGAAAAAAGAAACGAACAGAGTACCCCGCTCTGAGACACACCAACGGTAACGTCACTGGACCTAAAACACAAGGACAGATTCAGCATTGCCAACAAAATATCGAAGTCAACAGTACGAATTCAACGCGTTATTATTGTAAGAGAAGTTAATCGTGTTTTGTCAGGAATTCAAAGTTAGAAATCTGAACGTGAATATCATTGTGAGAATTATAAATCATAAATATTAGATTTTTTCCGTTTGTATCGGCTATTCAGGAGAACGGAGTAGTGGGATGTAAATTAATTGTTACGAATAGATATATTTTCGTAAAACAAAGTCCCCATATAAATTGCAGATTCTTTCAGGTTAGCTATTTCTATAAAAGTACTTAATAACCTTCGATCATATTGATTGAAGTATATAACCAAAGATTGTATACATTTGAATACTAACCATGTTTACATTTAGATAATAGCATATACTTATACACTTTTGTACAAAACAAATAAATAAAAACAATAATGCTCTATGTAATAGGTAATTACAATTAATATTTATTTTAATAAGTTCTGTAGAGATTGCGTATCAGTTTATAGCTTTTATGGTTTTTGGCAGTTCGCTGTAGCCGCAGTATTCTACCGATTTAAATTCAAATAACTCTGTCTTCCTGTATATTAACGGAGTCCTTGACTGTATGCGGCATCTGCAAGATGCATTCTTAACAACAACGTTATGACATTGGAAATAAAACTATATTTTTCTTGTTTTTTTTTTCAAACAAACCTGTTTTTCGCAACGTATTTCAAAAAAACAAATATACGCCATTTACATTCGAAAAAATACTTTATTTTCCAATGTATGAGAGCCTATGCATACGGCGTATTATAGAACGCGCATTTAGTGTAGTGAATCGATTCAAACACGCGTGCAAACATCGCGTTGCAAGAAAGAAGTTTAATACTCCACTGGAGTTTACACTTAAAATTTCAAGTAGTTGCTTCATTTCAAAAACTAACTAAAATTAACAAACAAAACAAAAATTAAAACTATCTCTTACCACAATACGCGATACATACGATTTAGCGCGTTTACATTCCGTATAAAATACGCTGTTTGCATACTTAGGCTCTAACAATCGCGAGAACCTACGAACTCAAAATGTAATGACGTCATTGTAACATCACAGTAACGTTCTTACGAAACACAGACTTTATCAAAATGTGAAAATTCAGTAGTTAACAATGAAATTTATACAGAAAAACAGAAAAAATGAATCACGTGTAGAGAGAGAACATTCATCTGGGTAGATTTCTGTGGCAGAGACACATTACGCATTCCTCCATTTTTTCATAGAGGGCGTAACGCTTATTGAAATAGTTTAACACGCATTACATTTAAGAGCTCTTCAAATTTAGTATCATCAACCCATTTATACATCCCACTGCTGTGCTGTGGATCTCCTCTCAGGTGGGGGTTTAAGCCATAGTAAGCCACGCTAACCCAATGCGGGCAGGGAACGTCCCACGTTTTCCGAGGGTGAGCCTTCTTCAACACGCAGATTTCATCACGATATTTTCCTTGGTAAAAGTGAACATGGTAAATTAATTTCGTAAATTACCGTATTCGTAAAAAACTTTTAACTAGTTGCAAAATTTATTTTATTGAATATATAAGTGAAGAAAACTTTCATACGTTTCTCACAAATGACCCTATGGCAAGTCGTTTTTAACCTACTTTAAAAAAGGAGGAGGGTCTCAATTCAACTTCATCTTTTTTGTATGTAGTTTACGCGATTATGAGAGCGGATATTCAAGATTATCTTTATTGGAAAAAGGATACCTCAATATTGGTCCAAATAACCAACCTCTAAGGGTGAAAAACTAGGAGATGAATCCAGTTTCTCGCACTTTCCGGTCACTGATTTCAAGAAAACTTGGCAAATAGATGTAATTCTTCGAACTTTGGAGGTCGTTTTTTTTTTAAATATAAAAAGTTATAATTATAGCCCAATACAAAACAAGCACGTGGCCCGGTATGGCGTGGTCGCGGATTCAAGTACAACCAACCGGCTTCAAGAAATTTTTCTTTTTGTTTTTCGATCTTTTGTTTCATTAGTAATTTTAACTCGTTTTCTGTAAATTTTTAAGTCACTGTTTCATCGGAGGTGCGATATTTTAATACGCTAATACCATAGCATAATCAGACCTAGTCTAATTAATATTCGATCAAGTTAAAAGACGCATGATTCGAATAAAGCTTAAATAATTTGTTTCGGACAGATGTCGGAAAGAGAACGAGAGCAGATCCCCAGGTCCCTACATGACTTAACGCGAGAATCTCGTCCTAACTAGTGTTAGATCATGGAACAATTTCCGTGAAAAATTTTTCATATTTTGCAGAAAAATAAATATTTTTGTGGATATATTTTCAATATTTTTGTAAGTCAATGATTTTTTCTATTTTCCACATCTGATGTTAATACCTACAGAAAGTTGAAGTTACTGAACGAAAACGGTGGAGCCATAAAGGCTTTTTTTCGCTGTTCTCCAATTAATTTAAATCTAGTTTTTCTGTAACTTGCTTTAAGCTATACAATTTTATTTTATAATTCACGCTAAATAAAAATTCAATAAAATATTTCTAAGCGAAGAACATAATATGGCCCGTCAAATTATACTTATCCAATTCCTAATTTAATCTAATTTAATCCTAATTAAAAAAATAAATATTCCTGTAAAATTTCCACCATTTGAAATTTTTCGATAAGTTACCCAATTTTACTCCTGACAGTATCAAGGACAAGTCTCATCTAGAGAGAACGTGTAATTGACTTCTCTAATTATATCGTAGATAAATAATTAAGGGCTTTTAATTAATCAATGTCTTACGAAATGCCACATCTGGGCGAGAAATTAGGCAAAGTCAGTAGGTCAAGTTCGTTCGATAAAGAGACCTATGATCCAAATTGTATATTTGTAACTTAATTCTTGGAAATATGTACGAAAATAAACATTTGTATGTAATATGTATATATTTATAGGTATTTTTCAATATTACAGTTAATTTAAGTGTTAAGGAAAGTATAGTGACACTTTAATTATATCGACTCCTGAACATTGAATTGTGAAAAATGTAGGTACCTACTTAGAATAATAACGCATAGAATGATAGTTTCATATCAAACGAACTGTCACAAGTGAGGCAAAAACCAAATTCATGTAGGCGTAAGCAACTTGTAACTACGCTCGTCGGCACGCACACAAATATACAAATAATGATGCCATGGAATAACATTTCCCTCAAAAGTGGGGAAATTGTATCTTGCTTAACTCATCATTAAGTTAAAGGTGCCTACAGATTTGCCCGACATTGTCGATCAGGTGCCTACAGATGTGCTCGGTTTTGTCGATGAAAAACGAATATAGCACTTATTTGTAAATCCAAGATGGCGGACACGATTTTTCAAAATATGCTATATGGGTATCCTTTTCGAGGTATTTGGGGATGCTCATTACGAATATGGCACTCATTTCTAAATCCAAGATGGCGGACACGAGTTTTGAAATAAATGCAATATGGGTATCATTTTCGAGGTACTTGGGGATGCTCATGACGAATATGGCACTCATTTCTACATCCAAGATGGCGGGCACGATTTTTCAAAAAAATGCAATATGGGTATCATTTTCGAGGTACTTGGGGGTGCTCATTACGAATATGGCACTCATTTCTAAATCCAAGATGGCGGGCACGATTTTTTCAAAA